TTTCTATTTAAAAAGTTTAGGATAATATTACTATATCCTTTAGTCTATACTTAATAACCGTTTAGAAGCTTTATATTAGTAATAAGTAGTATAAAATTAATAAAATTTATATAATAAGATATTATATATACTAATACGCTAGAGTCTACTATCTAAATATACTATTTATTATTATCTATTAATAGAGCTATAATATTAACGGCTAATAAGCTTATTTCGGCGAAACTTATTAAAATCTTCTCCGATTTCTCTTTCGATTTTAAGTCCTTTTTTAAATTAGAAGTACTAGCTATAGCTATATTAACGCCGTCTTAAGAGGTACCCTTAGATTTAGGGTTAAAGAAGTACTACTTACTAGTATAATAAGTAGAACGCTTATAGTAGATATAATAATACTATAACTCTAAGTTATCTTTATTATTTTAGCCTTAGCTAAGACCTTATCTAGCTCCTCTACCGTAGTCTCTATTACCTCGGCCTCTTCCTCTATCTCTATCTTAATTACTTTAGGTAGATTTAGCTTCTTTTAAGATAGAAATAGCCGCGATTACTATATTTATAGACTTTTTATTTAACTTATATTCGATAAATTTACCGAAAATATAGTTAAGTATACTTTCCGGATTAGTTAGAGGTTTATATATATTTAAGAAACCTTTTATACTTTAGTAGCTATTAATTATAAGCTTGAAATAAGCTAGAGCCTATTTAGGTAGTAATAGGGTATTTAGAATAGCTAAATTCGTAAGATCTAGAGTAGCTTACTATTTAGTAATAAAATTATATAGATTACTCCTAGTATATATAAGCTTAATTAACGAAGATAGTCTATAGCTTAAAGTAGTATAGTTACTAATACTATATATATTACTGTTTTAAAGAAATATTTTATAAGAATCTTTATAATTATATATAAAGCTATAAGCTAAATCGCTAAGTATATAATAGATAAGATATTTCGTAAGTATATATTTATAGCGAAACTAGTAAAATCGGTTATTTAGTTAAGTTATATTTTTATTAATCTACTTATTAAATTCCTCTTCGGTAGGCTCTTATCTAAGTTAAGCGAAAAGAACGTTTTAAATAGCTTCCTCTATAGGAGTATCACGAGGCTCTTAAATAGGGTATATTATTTTACTAGTAATAATAGACTATAGATCTTCGTCTAGACTATCCGTAATAAATTAAAGCCCCTATCTCTACTTCTCGAAGTTAGCTCTTCCCTTAAGCGTAGGAACTAATTCGGCGAAGGTTTTAGCCGCTTTATAAGCCTCGAGATCGGAAACTATATTAAATATTATAAATATATTAATCCTACTACGATAAAGTACTGCTATATAGGTAATATATAGCTTAAAAGCTCTAAATAGCGTAAGAGCCGGAAGATATAAGATCTACTATAACGAAGATATATTATATAGTAAGCCTACTACGGCGAAGTACCGTTATATAGGCGTATCTACTATAGCGATATACCGCTATATAGGCGTATCTACTACGGCGATATACCGCTATATAGATAAAGAGCGTAAGAGCTCTAAAAATAGTATAGAAGCTAGAAGGATTTTGTATATTTTTAAATAGTATTAGAGCCGAAGAAGGGACTTTTAGCGACGATTCGATATAATAGCTTCGGTAGCCGTATTCGATATATAGGGATTATCAAGTCGTAAAGAGGTACGAAGTCTACATTCTGTAGAAGGCGCAAAACGCGCCGAAAAACGATGGAAAAAGAGGTTATTATACAAGTTATACCTAGGCAGTAAGGAAATATAAATAACCTCACTCTTTATACGCTAAGCAGGGCTTATAACCTATTAGGGGCTACTGGGAAAACGTAGCAGACCCAAAAGAGGGGAGAAAGGAATAGTGAGATTACATCTAGTAAGAGGTGCCTATCTAAGCTACGAAGGTGGTGTGCGTGGGCGCGCACCACGCTGGTGACACGCCTGACCACCAAGCTATCTCAACACCCAGTAGTAGACTCTGGTAAGATTATGCAGTGCCAAACGCGAAACGTGATCCGACCTCTGTCATCCATGACTATCTTCTCAGATATTTTCCGCCTTCCAATCGTCCTTTGAGTGAGATAAGCAAATTTGCGGTTCGCATTCCCGTACGCCCGATGGGATTACAAAGCAACCATCAATAGCCGAAGAGGAAGAAGGGGTTGAAAAAAGAAATTGTTTAACATCTTTCCGATCTCGACGAGTAGAAGATACACAAGGGCGAGGTTTGATGAACCCCGTCATAGTACTGGCAATGTTTCTGTAGCGGCAAGGTTTGGAGTGCATCTGGTGTAAACCGCTTTGGAGATTTGAGCATGAAATACTTGGCACAGTACGCCCACCGGTCGTCCCCAAGCCGCACAAGAAGCTTCAATCTCAGCTCATGATTGCTGTTGACGAATGAGTGAGGAAGATACTGTAAGGAGGAAGAATTGCTTGATTCCTGGCAAATCCGCTGTATGTTGTGAAGAGAGGGTTGCAGGTGAGAGCAACACAGGTCTAGTCAATCAGATCAATTGCATTAGAGATTTGACATAAAATAGCCCAGTCAAAAAAGCAGATTCGCACCTAACGGGCGGTTATACTCAGACTTATGAGTAGCAAAGGCAGGAGTCAAGTATGTTCTCCTGCCGCAGTTCCTGGCTTTGAAGTCATCACTATGAACCTCGGACTTTGCCCTAGCCTCAATCTTGGGCTCGTCGAAGCTCGAATTCGAGCAATCTTCCCATTTATCTTAAGGAAATTGCCCGGGGGCTGGGATTAGCCCAGTGATCATTTTGCGAAAGCGCTTCATGACTGTTACGAAGATGCAAAGACTTCCATTAAATTTACGTGATGGTAATCTCGCTTGATGTTATCGAGGTGGTTTGTTGGAGTTTATTAAATTGACTTGGGCACGAGGAACTATAATTTGAGTGACGTCAAACATCGTGCTCAACTTTCATTAAGCTTGTCTACTTCAAGATACTACGACCCCCACGGCCCACAGAATTATTCTTTGCTTCAGGCAGTGCTGCTTTGAATCAAATGCTATATCTGAACATCAAAGTCAAAGCCCATCCAGTTTCTCACGCTATAGCAAGAAGGATGAGAGATGCGGATTGATTCTCACATCTTGACCTTTTAAAGCATTTCTGTGCGTTTGATGGGTCAGCCATAGTGTACGCTGTTCATCTCGGTTTTCAGAATTCTTTTTGCCCAACAAATTCAAGTGAGCTGGCGAATTGCAAAAGAAGAGTCAATGGTATGTGACGGAATGCAGCTACAGACGATGGGTAGCCACATAATGTGAGAGAGGAATGAGTGTGAGATTGTCCGGCTAGGAGAGATTCTATCCAGGCTTAGGACTGCGGTGAGACAGCAGTTTCCATACTATACGAACAGTATATGATAATCTGAGATTGACCATGCTCGTTCGCGATCGGATGAATGTCGACGAGATGACCAAAGAATATAGCTCTTCTCTCTCTCCTTGCGTCCATTCATTTCCAATACCAACTGCAAATCACGGACGCCTTTTTCGTGCACACCTAGAAAATGTCTGTCGACACTCCCCTATCTATGAATTTCTATCCACCACTTCACCTCGATCTTGAGACAGGTCAAGAAGCGGTGATGGAGGGTTCAATCCCATCCGGGCACTTCATCATACTTGTGCGTACTGACCAGTAAAGCTAGTACATCGCCTTGACTTTCGAGTATTTTTTCGAATATTGGCTCTCTGTCAATACTCGCCGAGATTTTTGTCGACGTTCATAAGTATCCAAGAGCAGCTTGCTATAAGATTACAGACAGAGCTACAAAGCCGACTGTCCGGACACGCAATACCAGACCTGTTCATTCTGGTCACCCGTATCCCACTGGAAGAAGAGCAGCTCCCTGGAGGAATCCTAGGATTATAAATTAATCACTGCCGATGTGACCTCTAATCACCGCTATAGCAGTGGGCCATACCGACCATGACGGGTAGTACATGTAGTGACGATTGTGAGTCTTTATTATTGATACTTATACTTGAACCTTTTGCTTAGCCCTCTTCTAGTAGGACCTGCTGACTTCCCATCTAGGTGACGTTTCTTCTTATGTCAGATTCTACTTTCCGTCTAGTTAACATCTATATTGATTTGACTTCCTACTCCTATTTTCGTCCTTCTTTTCATGTACCTGTCTCTCTTTTATGTGGAAGTACTTATGCCGCGTCTCGTCAGATTGCTGAACTCACTTGGTCGCACAAGAAGATTGGCACTTTCCGCAGATACAACACGCACTGTCCGGCGTGGCTGTCATCGTCCACCACATTGTTTGATGCTTTCAAATACCTCGATCTTGATCGATAGGGATATTAGAGATTCTTCTGATCAAGATAATATTCTTTCAAGTTTAAACCATCTCTCGTAGCGAATACTTCCGTCATGGTTAACCCATAACGTTCTGTCCAGTGCCACTCAACTCCGGTTATCCCTCATGCGGGCAGGGGTATGTTGACTTCTCCGTTAGTACTAACGATGCCCGTGACCTTTACGGATTTGACTTGACCTCATATCCTAGCTGACAGTCGGAGCAAGACCGCTAGTCCTGGCCATACTTCAAGTTAAAAATAGGGAAAGAGGCAGGAATAACCTATTCCAAGGTGACAAAGTCGTTAGTAATCAAGACGATGCGCCGCTTTCATTCTCTGCTTGAGATCATTTCACTCTCAAGGCACTTTAGTCTGAGTAAATGAAGTTCGCGAAGTAACAAGACGTCACGGGCATCCCTTATGAATGACGCGTGCATCCTTCGACTTCAATTATCCAAATCTGCTGCTCTGAACAATATATGGTTGATGTTCGGAAATTGAAATTCACTGGCCCTTGACCCTACTCAGACAATCGAAGCTGGGTGTTTAGCGCTCCAGTGCTCAGTCCGTTTGTCTGTCAACGTTACCTGTAACGGCCTGAGTCAGGTGGTCAGGAGTCTTCCCAGTCCTCTGAATGTGCAGTCCATCCCTCAACCACATCCCATGCCTCCGACGTCTTCTGCGACCCATGGCGCGACCCCCGACACCCAGGCACCATATACCCATTCGCTTTGAGGCTGCCGTCGCGGCCATTGTGCAGTGATGATTGCGTCAATCTCGGCCTTCTGTGCTGCAACCCCGGATGTAGCCATGGCCACGGCAGCGGAGTGGATACCAGTGCTGGTGCTTTCTTCTCGCGTGGGTGTGTCTCTGACCGACGCCGTTGGAGTTGCTGTGTATTTGGGTGCCTGTTTGACGGAGTCCGAGGGCGCTGGAGTCGCTGACGCCTTCGGCTTAGATCTGGTTGCCGGTCTGGGTGAGAGTGGGTTCTCGGGAGTCCATGGGGCATCGGGGATCTCCGCCCAGATATGATCCGGTAGGATTTGCTCCCAGATCATCTGGCAGTCCGCAAAGTGCTGGGAAGCCCGTGGTCGGAAGCCTGGCACTTCCATCAATGGTAACACCTTGGTTGGTGTCGCTACGTTCATCGAGCAAGGTACGATAACATTTCGTGTCATCGCGGTAGCGTCGCAGTCCATCTAAATACACGCATTATTTGTATTAGCAGCCGTACACCATGCGTCGGTGGCTTCGTCTCCACTGGTAACTAGGTATGGCTGGTTAACGTAACGCGGCCGAGCCACGATAACATAGTGTTCGCCTTCGATCCTGTCTGGAGCGATTGTGACTTGACCGATGGTGAACATCTTGTCGTTCTTGCCGGGTCGCTTTGTGGTGAAGATCCAAGGGAATCTGCGGTGCAGTGACTCTCCAATCAAGAGGGTTTTCTGGCCGAAACCAACGACCTATCTAATGCCAAAAGCTTCAACGACCGTAGCTCGCCTGCGCGCGATACGACTGCCTTGGCACCAACTGTTCGTCTTTTCGAAATCCGCTTGCCATTGGTATAATACCTGATGGAACGAACGAACGAGCGAAAGAACGCGCACAAACGCAAAAACGAGTAGAACTGGGCTCCTGGGCTGACCGCAGAAGGGGCTGCTAGACACAACTGAAATTTTTGACTGAAAAATTTCGCAGCAGGGTTGGGCCAGGAGTCCAGGACACATCTGTGACATCTCCATTGGCGTAAGTCAACCGTAGTCAACTTCTTGCAAATAAGCGGGGACAACTTCCCCTGAGAGAACAAGAAACTTTGAGGAAATTAACAAAGCACGAAGAGTATCATTAAAGCGGCCAAATTTCTACAAGCGCAAGCTTTGGTTCGTGGACTAGTTTTATTCCAGATTAATCCAGTCAGCGGCGTTGCCCCATAGTTCTGAATTTCCCCGCAATCCCGGGTTTGGCACGCTAAAACGGCTCTGCAACATTCTAGTGTGCAGAGCGACGTGCGGAGGGCGCTCCGAGATTAAATCAGCCACCTCTGCAAGATTTCCTCCCCGTTCCATGTTCCACATTTCACACGTCAACATGGGGTATACTGTTGCGGTAAACTCTGTTCCCCCTTTTCCAAATTGTGGGCACGCTCTGACCAAGCTTCATAAGGTCTGATTCTCACAGTGACATGACGGTAGTCATGGTAGTTACTCACTAAGATGCGAATAGTGCCTGCCAGAAGATACATTTCTCGCGTCCAGTAGAGCAAGCTTACTCGCACAGGAGTAAAGCCAGTTTGGTTTCAAGAAGGCGATACGGTCCTTACTACGCTGAAAGAGCCACGCTCACCATGCGCGACGCACTCGCAGTGATCACAGCTCTTCTCTCGCCATGAAACATCTCAACCGTTCTAGCTCAATCCGCCGATCAGCTGCACGATGGAGTGAATTCTTCCCCTTTCGGATCGGGGCTTTCTCCAGCGTCATCTGTCTCCGCAATCCTTCTCCACGACTCTTTTTGGCAGACGGTGCCACGCTTGTAGGGATTCAAGATTGAAAACATGTTATTCAGCACTCGAACACTATAATTGGCTTCGGTGGGGTCCCTCATTTCCGTGTCTAATACAGCGATCTGCAACTCTTCAGCGCTCAATCTGATCACGCTACCCCGGTGGCGCTGCAGAAAGGGTCTGTGCTTGTCTTGACACAAGGATGCACGCCATTTTCAGTGTGGCCAAACTCTCCTGACTGAATAAGGGTGAACTCGGTTGAGTCTCCGGTCAGAAATCGGCCAGAGATGTGGTGGCCAGCTGATCGTCGTATAAATGCAGAGAGCGACGCCGTGGAAATGAAGTGTTCGTCTCAGAATCCCTCAGATCTGCAAGCATTACGTCTCAAATTTCCACCATGAGATACGATCTCCTTCTAGCTGCCAGTGCTACTCTGGCACTTGCAGTGCCTCAGGGCATCTCCAAGCGTGCTCCAGGCTTCGTTTGTAAGTCAATCTACCATCTGGCGCAAATCGAAACATTACTGACAATCTTGGGAAGGGTTCGGAGCAAGCGAGTCTGTTGCAGAGTTTGGCCAGGGGAAACTTCCTGGTGTGCTAGGAACCGATTACTACTGGCCCGATCATTCGGCCATCCAGACTCTCTACGATGGTGGCATGAACATCTTCCGAGTGCCATTTTTGATGGAGCGGTTGATCCCCAACTCAATGACTGCTAGCCCGGATGCAGCCTATCTCAAGGGTCTTACAGACGTATGTTCTTAGTGCAAGATTGGAAGAGGATCAATCATGCTGACAGACAGCCCGATAGACTATCAACTTCATCACCTCCCTCGGTGCGCATGCCATTGTCGACCCGCATAACTATGGACGCTAGTCAGTTTCACATTCACTCGCCCTTGAATGAAGGATCCTACTAACCTGTCCATCAGCTATGGCCAAGTCATCACCTCGACGAGCGACTTCAAGGCGTTCTGGACGACTGTTGCCAAGCAGTTTGCATCAAATGACAAGGTTATCTTTGATACCAGTAAGCGAAAGAGAGATCAATCACACCTTCCAAGTTTCTGTGCTGACTGACATGACAGACAACGAGTTCAACACCGAGGACCAATCGACTGTCTACGACATGAACCAGGCCGCCATCGACGCCATCCGAGCTGCCGGCGCAACCTCACAATACATCTTCGTCGAAGGAAACTCCTGGACCGGCGCCTGGACCTGGGTCAGCGTCAACTCGGGATTGGCCAACCTGACCGACCCCCAGAACAAGATCGTCTACGAGATGCACCAATACCTCGACTCTGACGGTTCCGGTACCTCGGGCACCTGCGCCAGCTCCACCATCGGCAAGGAGCGCGTCACATCCGCAACCCAATGGTTGAAGGACAACAACAAGCTCGGTTTCCTGGGCGAGTTCGCCGGCGGTGCCAACTCTGTGTGCGAGAGTGCCATCACTGGTATGCTCGACTACATGCAAGCCAACAGTGACGTCTGGCTGGGCGCTTCCTGGTGGGCTGCCGGACCGTGGTGGGGCAATTATTTCGCCTCCATGGAGCCGCCATCAGGAGCGGGATACACTTATTACTACAAGATCCTGTCGAACTATTTCCCTGGTAAGAGCACTGGCGGCGGCTCGACGACTACCACTACGACTGCCCCTGCTACAACGACCACTAAGGCGCCTGTCACTACTACCACCACCACCACGACCGCCCCTGCTACCACTACTGCGACTGGAGGCGCGACTGCTGCACACTGGGCTCAGTGCGGCGGAGTTGGATATTCGGGACCCACGGTGTGTGCCAGTCCGTATACCTGCAAGGTGCAGAATGACTACTACTCGCAGTGTCTGTGAGAAGATGTCTTCAAGGTAATCCATGATTCAAGTTCTGCCTAGACATGTTTTGAAACATTCGTTTTTCTTTTGACGTATGAGGCTTTCTTTCCTCTACCGATTGTGATACATGCCACTTCAAAATGAAATCAATGCTTCGTTCGCCCTGAGCAACGCGGCTGTGGCCAATTGGCAAACAGATCAATACCTCGAAGACGTGGACCGGAATGTAGGAAGAGGCTCGCGATAAATATACAGTGCAAGAATCTTTACGTGTCATCTTACAATCTGGTATTTATGACACACAGTAAGGACCACGACGACTGATTTGATCAACATCGTAATGATGTATCACCTTGCCTGTGCATTCCCCAGGTCTGCCCATCCTGCTTAGGGTAAATTTATAGCAAACTGAGCCTGAGAACTGAGAGAATGCGGTGCACCTTCTCTGGCTCTAGAAATTCCTCGTGAACCAGCAATAGCATCACCGTGGAGTGTACTCCCATCCAACAAGCTGCCCAAATCCAACCAAGACAAGGATTGAGCATGTCCGAACTCGCCCTTCTTGATGAGTCAACTCGCAACCAGGATAAACAAAGAGAATATATCTTACTATCCAAGCGTAAACCTCCACCCCCACGCCGGCAGACGGGACTCAAGCTAGCTCCATAGGTAGGTAGACCACATTTTTTGCCTGGAACGTTGGACGCCACATCATTCCTAATTTCCTACTGACTCATTGCCATCATTGCTGCTTACCTGAGCTCGGCTCTTGACCGAGCAGAGCTCATTTCGCAAACATCAAAGATCCCCGGCTTCGCCATACCTGAAATTCAGTTGTCCAGGTATACGGTAGCGACGCCCTTGCTGTAGCATGTCAGCAATGGAAAGCGGCACTTGAGTTCAGATGTGGATCTCGTATCAAGTGGAGATGGAAGTCGATGACTCGATGTCTATCGCAGGGCGTGTTTTAGCTTTGTTGATTGCTCAGCAGTGACCGCCTTTACTCGACTTGACGCTTGAGCTGGTCCGAGCTTGAGTGTGAGGCTTGGCGTTGGTCCGAACATAATGTTGAACTTGGCGAACGCCGTGGAACGTACGCTTTTGAGATCAAACCTTCTCTTTCGAGCTCGATAAATACCCTAGTTGTCTCTACACGCGCCTTTCCTAGACCGATCGTAAAACTCCTAGTCGAAGCGAAAGCTGCCATCGTTCATGATTCAGGAGTTCACACGGAGCGCCGATCCTGCGGTATCGCGAATTGCGATGCTATGTTTAAAAGAGTCCACCAGCCAAAGAAAGACGCTAAACTATTCAGCCTAGGACAGCGTGCATTACTTCGTACGGAATGAAGAGCGCTAACTACCTGAAAGAACTCCGCTAACTTGGAGCAGTCTGGTCATGTGAGACGAGCGTTGGTCTCTCGGAGTAAGCGCCGGAGTAGGCCCCACTTTGCGGAGTATAATGGCAGAGCTTCGGAATAGACTCAAGGCTGGTGCTGAATCCTGAAATAGGAACGAGTCAACGACACGCATAGACGAACTTGATTACCACATCTACAAAGTGGTACGTACTACGTACTACGTACTACATACTACATACTTACTATTCTAGATTCATCAAGAAGACAATTCCTACGGGCTCAATGGTAGCGATTGCTTCACTTGATTTGCGGAATAAGTTGGATTTCTGATCCAGATGCGCCACCGATCTGACTCCAATGTCGGAAATACCAGTCCGCATTGTAAGCGACACTCGACCCGCAAAGTCATAGATAGATTTCAAACTCATTGCGTGCAATACTGTAGCTCAACTTGTATTCGACACCCCCTTCAATGATCAGATGCCAGTCTCACTCTCCTATATAAAAATCATAGACGGGCCTGATGTTTCCCGCGGCCCCGCTGAGTGGACTCTCCAGGACAAGCCGTTCTTTTTTTTCCTAGACCCTCATCGAGCCCGGAGGTGAGGACCAAGAATTTGTGAGATGTGGATGTGAATCAGTGGGTTTCAATCCAGCCGCCAAGTTGCTATGCTCGTACTGCGCTGCCAAGACGCGTGGGCGGGAGTGATGGTGTTTGCTTCCAAATCAAACAGCCTGGGCCGCGACTATGCCGGCTGCGTCACTGGCAGTGGCATACTACATAGTACATACTACATACTACATACTACATAGTAGTACATACTCCATACTCCATACTACATAGCCAACATACGAGGAGTATCGATAAACCTTCCTTTTAGGAATAGTCTCACACTCCCAGGAAGCTGACTTGGAATTGCCATCCATAGACTATAGTCAGCAATCTCGACAAGTTATTCTCGTGTACTACAACCGCATTGTCGATTCTATGGAACACTACTTGTTTGCCCAGTTTGTCTATCAAAAATCTCTTCACTGGTCGCCCACGGCCACCGCAGATAGCCGCATCATGAGCTCACCCGCCCAGTCTCGCCAGGCCGAAACTCCATTTCCACTCCGTTTCGGGACCCCGAGCAGCGCTGGAAAGGATTGGGTACACGGGAAGTGGAGCCTTTCGGATCGACTGAATGATGGAACTGCACTGACCACTGTGGTTTGAGTCGACCGCCACGTTTGTGCACCGCCGCAGCAAAGCATCTCCGATGGACTACTGTATGTGGCAAGGGGCTGTCTAGGTATATGCCTCTGATCCTTGTCGATCGGGTTCTGGAAGATGCGGTCTCAGAGTCGAGGTGCCATTGCTACGATGTCATTCGTATGTGGCAGAATCTAGATTAGTCTTCAGTCGGTGGCTGTCACCACTAAAGGAACATCACTCATGTGTCATCCAGCTGGGTGCCTAAACACATGTGATTAATTATTGAATGAGGAGTAGTCTGTGCAATTCAGTGATTGCTAATCACAATAGTGAGTGAGGCGTTTCAATTCTTCAGATGTATTACTCATTTCACGCCCTTGGATGATCAGGTTTGACCGTATTTGGTCAACTATAGAGAGGAGTATGTCCGGATCCACCGCAAAACATCACAAAAGAGCCCTGACAATCGACCAACGGGTAAGATCCGAACATGATCTTCAGTACCATAGAATGTCAAATTTATATTCGTGAGAGTCGGGGACCGGTCACAGACAGAAGCGGAAGACCCGCAAATGAATTGTCAGCAACAATCATCGTTTGACTGCTCTAAAAGTTGGCTCCTGTTACCGTATATTGCGACACATGTCGTCTCTGAAGGCGCGCCCTTGGGTTGACATGAGCGCGTCTTGAATACATGTGGAGCTCGGCGTTCAAAGTGAATCCACCCGCGAGCTGGTATTTAGCCTCGATAGAGAACTCCGAGAGATCCACTTCACTCCGAAAAGTAGTCCGCGGCGTAAAATCTCTTCGATGCGCCTAACTGCTTCCTCTCTCCCTCAGCCCTAAAGCGCTACTCCGACTCCGAGGCCTTCAGGGTCGAGATCCCACACCTCAAGGCATGTGTCTGACGCTGACGTCTGTGTGCCATTGTGGTGCCTCTCCTCTGTTCCCTTCAGGCTTCCGCTGCTGTTAGGCTCTGCTGTTGAAGCGGATTCCAGATTTGATCCCCTTTTTTCTTGGCTGCGAGGTGGGGCCGTGGCTTTTTCATATACCTTTGTTTGAGAATTCAAAAAAAAAAAAGAATTTATGAGGTTTTCTTTTTTGCTTGCGTTTCCCGTCTCTTCTTCGGAGTAAGTCACGATGGAGTCGAGTCGCATGGTAGAATCTTCTCAGACTTTGAGAACTATATAAGACCCAGGAACCCCCGGTTCCAAATCAATCATTCACCACTCAATCAGATTCAAAACAATCCATCAGAGCAATCAATCACTCAATCCACCAACACAAACTCTATCTACTTTGATCATCCATTTGATCATCAAATCAACAAACCTTTCTCATTCCAACCTCTCAATTCACCACATTGATATCTACCAAGACTCCACGTCAAATCACCAACCACATACCTCCATTCAAGATGTCCAGCTTCATCTCCAAGGCTTCCTCCAAGTCCGCCTCTTCGGACGCCGCCTCCACACACTCCTCCGTCTCCACTGCCACAACTCTCAAGGGCATGGACATCCACAAGAAGAAGTGGTACTCTCTGAGCTCCTCCAAGACGTCTCCCAAACACACTGAGGAATACTACGCCAAGCGAGCTCTTCACAACGAAGCCGTCGCCAGCTACTTCAGCATGCGGTAAACTCAGTTCCCTCTCCATCAATTGGATTTGGATATGAGTTTGAAACCAACCTTGCACAACTGAACTCGACGATACCCTCTCTCTTCAATGCCTCTGCCACAATTTCTTCGCGACATCAGCAATAATGCTCCCGAACAACCTCATGAGAAACCGATACCTCTTTGCTTTTCCATGCTTGCTTGCTTGCTTCGTTTGGTGCTTGCGTCTCGTCTCTCGAAAGTGATTTGCTTTTCCATTTCCACCTTTGATCTTTGCTCCGATGCTCCGCGTGCTCGGAGAGACTGCTTTGATACCACCGCCTTTCTCGATGAAGCCGCTTGTTTGCGACGATGGAACGACCCTGGATACCAATATTGTTCATAATTACCTTTGTCTTGTCATTTGATCTCAGATATCATGCCTTGATTTTTTTTCATGGATTTTAGCAGATTAGAATAATTGCTTATTTTTTTTGTTTGGATATTGTTACAAAACTTGACTTGTAGTCCTTGGAACATTGAAGTCGCGCGCGTATGTAGTCAGACAGGCCTCGTGGCCTACATAGTTCCATGTGCAACCTAGCATTCAATCAATCTAGTATTCTGCCTGTTCAAGTGGATTGCGTTGAGGATAACCTCTTGATCAAACCTAGAGAGTGGCGGGAGTTCTGGGCTTCCCCCGTAGCAAAGCTCATAGAAGTCTGATCTAGAGCTTGCTGGTCAGTAACGAGATATAATGGTAGAACCTTGATGTACGATTTCTGTCATGCTGTCGATCAGAATAGTGTAAGATTGTGTATGAAAGGTAACAACAAGTAAGAAACGCTGGATCAATGCCGTCAAGTCGACAAACAACGACTTTGAACCGAAATCGCCTTGACAAATCCCCCAATGTATCATAGCTTCATCACAATCCCGCCAACAATTCTCCCATTGAGATGGGCTTGCGGACTGCATTCGAAAATCCCTCATGATAGGTCACCCACACCTTCCGACCTGCCTTGGATGCCTCCTCTGACTCATCTCCGCGATTTGTGTCTGTAATGTCACGGACAGGTTGTTCGATGACTCGTCCGAAGAAATCGCGCTTGGCTCCATCTCCACTGACCTTGCGCGAGCCGATGCCGCCCTGTTGCTCCTTGCCAGCTTGACCTGGGACGGATCTGCCGTTCGCGACATTCTTGGCATTGGAGAACTTGCGCTGAATCTCTTTGCGATACTCTTGATCGAGCACTTGGCGGACGGCATAACGGACAGGTGCGGTACTGGATGATGAAGTGATGCCGGTCATCTTGGAGAATGCGACTAGAGAGTCGATCGATCTGTCGCGGAGTTAGCTGAGGCTCACCAAGATGGAGATTACCAAAATGGGACCAGCAGTGTTGCTGTCTTGACTTACGGCTCCATTCGGTACGCCCATCCACCGTGACTGCCACCTTCATGCTCGACGCGGACCTTCTCAAAGGTCACGCCCATGCCAGTCATGACCCGAACAGCGGACTGCACAAGTACACGCTCGCTCTCCCTGCGAATACTGGCTGTACTCCTCTGGTCACCACCACCACGAACAATGACAGGCTTGATATCTGGTGATAGCATTCGAATTAGATGTGGGACCAAATCAGTCACTACGCTCTCAGTGGACCGGAACATCCGCAGCATAGGTGCAGGCAAAGATGCGTGGAACCCGTTCAAAATTGATCGGTTCTCCTTCTGCGCCTCAAAGACGAGAAAGTCGGCTTTGGGTCCCGAGAACGGGTGCTCTTCCTCGGCATCCTCTTCTTCTTTGTCACGATCATTTGCCTCAATTTTGCCGGCAGCAGAGGCGAAGAGATGATGGAAAGCAAGCGTCGATTGGCTCAGATACGGGCCTAGCTCCCACTCCTGTGATGTGTTCACCCTCACCGAGACACAGTCGTGGAAATGAAGCCAGTCATAGGCAAGGGTTGGTTTGCTGAGGAAGTTATCATCTCGGTATTGTTGATTCGGGTACACTGCGAAGCAATCCGTCACACAACGATCATGTTCGCCACTGGAGTCTATCATCTCGCGGAGACGGTTCAGAGCATGCCGCTTACGCAGATCAGCGACTCCTACTGGAACACGATTCGACAAGCCGTCAAACTTGTCCTGGAATGACAAGCTGGCTGGAGCGTCGGTGAATCCTGCACCTTCGGCAAATACCCGGTTGACAATTTCACGCACCCCTCCGCGGCTCATCTCTTTGAAGAAGCTCCCGCCCTCCGTAGAAGCACTAAGCACTCGACGTTCGAGCCAATTGCGTGTCAACCGCAGAGATGAGAGACTCTCATTTCGAAGCTTGTGAGCCACCCACTCAGCGGCAACTAGTACGCTTCGAATGTCTCCTTCGGCCGACCCATTAGTCTTGGAGCTGCGTTTTCTTCTGGTTTCGAGTCCCCATGCGGCTTCGCAAAGCCGTCGTGCCCCATCATTGTCGCAGGGGATGCCCTCACGGCCGAAGATGTGCTTGACACGTTGCACGACATTTTCCAGAGGAGCTTGTCGAACTTGGATCATTTCTGCGATCGTCGATGCTCGCAGAGAGCGAAGACTCGGGTGATAAAGATCGTTGCACACCAAGATCAACGGCCGAAGAAAGCGAAACGTGTCGCCTTTCCGCTTTTTGGGGAACTTGCCACCATTCTCTGCAGCGAATCGAGCGTTTCGTTGATCAAGCATGACCAGATCAATGAGAGCTTTCATGAAACCTCCCTCGCCACCGCTACCGGCACCTCCAACAACGCCGTCAACTTCGTCCACGACGACACACACGGGCTTGGCAGCGCGACGGACTTTGTTCTCGCCCACCTCCACATTCGCTCCTTTGACGTTCTCCGTTCCCAGGGCGTCGCGGATCCTGCCTTTGACCACGTCCTTGCTTCGCTCATCGCTCGCATTGATCTCGAGAACCTCATAGCCAGCTTGTTTTGCACATACGTGTGCCAACGTTGTCTTACCAAGACCAGGTGGTCCGCTTAGAAGAAGCACTTTGCGGTGCATGCGCTCCTCTTCTTCGCCATCCTGGCCAGTCTTTTTGTTCTTGTTAGATTTGGCCAAGCCAGGGAAAACGATTGGTTCCCATCCTTTTAGCCAGCGAAGGACTGCGCGATGGGTGCGTTCGTCCCCAATCAGGTCGGTAAATTTGCGAGCGCGGTATTTCTCCGTCCACATCATGGAGTCCCATTTTTTTTGCTTGACATCTACTTCTCCGGCTTCGATAGATTCACTGACAGGAGGCGCTGGTCGAGGTGCTTCTCTCGCGGCTTTTGATTCCTTCGCAGCCTCGTCCATCAATTTGTGAATCTCGATACCATAGTAGCTGCGTTTCGCCCGTCCGGGATCCGTTTCTGAGCGGCCTGCAATCATCTGTTCGTAAGAGATGGGCACGGCAGCTTTCCGAAGAGAAGTGTAGCGAGTTTTGCCGTTACAAGTCTTGATCTGGAACTTGCTCGGCGCGGAATGGGGGCCTGGAATGACCCTGGGTTGTGTGATCGCGACTGTGGAAAGACTGCCCACTCTTGGAGTAGAATTCAGGTCCGGTGATCCATTCTGCATCCCCAAATTTCCGAGGGGTAATGGCTCGGCGTTCTCCTGCAGCTCGTATTGACTCTTCAAATGCTCGTCCCGCATCGCTGCAACTTGTTCGTCGTCATCTTCGTCGTCGTCATCGACGAATCCGCCAATAAATTTGGGTTTTTTGGGTTCAGTCTGAGAGGCCTGCTCATCGGTGTCCGGCACTTTGCGCTTCTGCGCGTTCGCGTCCACGTCCCCGAGAATGGTCGACCCCGGTGTCGTCATGAAAGGCATATCTAGGATTGGAGGTGAAGATGGTATATGGTCGGTTGTCCAAGCTTTAATCAGCGTGTTGCGGCGCGGTGTGGCAGGACACGCCTTTGTCGGAGTATCTGGACAAACGGACAGTTTAGATCGACGTCCGCAAGCTACAGGAGAAAATGGGGACGAAACCATACCGGGTCTTAGATCTTCGTCACTGCGAAACACATCTGACAAATTCCAGGCACGATGTTGAATCACAACTTTATTGCGGGTCTGCTCGAGGCGATGGAAGTGGATAGCCTCGAGATCGTCGGAGAACGACTCGGACAGAGGGACTGGTGGATGTTGGGATTCGGAATGAAGATGGAGGGCCGGGTCAAAAGAGGAAGGAATATCTGGCGATGAAGAAATCATTCAAATCGTCGTTGTATCATGTCTGTTCAGCCAATGTCGAAATCTTTGGTTCACCAACTCAATGTATTTCGCCCAGTTTCCCCCTCCGATTGAAGACGCGCCGACACGCGTGTAAAACGCGCTAATCTTGATTGGGTAACTTTAATTGATCATAATCGATGTGGGCCTCTGTGCGCCTCATAAATGAGGCACTAAATAGCTACTCAAGCAAAGTCACTCTAACCAAAACAGGCAAGTAGATTCATCTACATACCTTCCTACCTTATTGTGGAACATTTTTGGCTTCTATGGATCAGACGGTTGACGAAAGCTTGCCGACTTGATGGAAGACTGATTTTGAAACAAAGCAAGTCGTGTCACGAGCGATCATCTCCAGTAAGCCTCCCTCTGAGACGTGTGTTGATATAGTCCCTGGCTTATCCAGTCCGCTATGAGCCCTGATAAGTTCTCTGCTTCAATATCGCAAGTACATAGCAGGACTCAGCGGACCTGCCAGCCCCACGGCCATATGACGCACTGCGTCAACGCGTTATTGGAACGAGGTGCCTCGAGGTATACGAATACGTGATATGCAACCTGAAGGTTCAGATGTAATCTCACCACTTTGACATTCTCGATGACAGATGACGATGCTATTGCACTGTCATCTCATATCAATACATGATCTACGAATATCTCCATTTAACTCCGGATCTTGCGGAAAGATTGTCCACGCCGGAGACCTTGTCGGACTTAAAACATGGTGGACCGTGGGTCGCGACCCGCTTTGCAGTCAGCAACTGGCATAACCTTGCTACCAGCTTTAATCGACGTAGATGTAGCAGGTAGATATTTTGTATCTCGAATATGCATATAAGGATGACCTAGTAGCGCACCAAACTCAACTACTTCTTGCACAGGTATCATCTGAGTCATCGATATGGCTAGGACAATTGCATTCGGCGACCTTCAAGTACCGTCGCCCGGTTTCGGTGCGATGGGATTGAGCTTCGGCTTGGGGAACAACTTTAGCCTCGAGGAGGCAGAACCAGTTCTGCTCAAAGCCATTGAGCTCGGTTGCACATTTTGGGATACTGCTGTGAGTGGGATCGTTCTGGGCTGAAGCTGGACTTCACTATTGAAACTGATCAAATCCTTCTTACAACCCTAGGTTATATACCAGGCCGGGGTCAATGAGAAGCTCCTGGGTGACTTTATTAGAAAGCACAATGTTCGCGAAAAAGTGTTCAGTCAGTGTCACTTACTGTCGTCGGTGCTACAGCTGCCCCAAAGGCTAATCCATGATTGTAGTTGCGTCAAAGTGTGGTCTGATGGCCTTTGGCGAAGGAAAAGGTTGTACCAATTCGCCTGCCCACATCAAGGAGTACATCGAAGGCACCATTGAGCGTCTGGGCTTCACCCCTGATTTGTATTATCTGCACCGCATCGATCCCAGTGAGTCCCTTTTTTGATAATTGTTCGCGCGCCACTCTATCAACTGCAGTTCTTACCATTGAATAGACACCCCGCTCGAGGAGTCTATCCCAGCTCTAGATGAGATTCGCAAAGCCGGCAAGACAAAGTACATTGGTCTGTCAGAGTGTTCGGCAGCAACGTTGCGGAAGGCAAACTCCAGTAAGACTTCTGTCGTTCATGGTCTTCATGAGTCACATCACTGACGTCCATCCCTGCTACAGTCGCCAAAATCGATGCCCTCCAGGCTGAATATTCGGCTTTCGAGACCATTCATGAGACGGATGGCTTGGTCGATACGGCTAGAGAACTTGGTGTCGCTTATGTCGCCTACAGTCCCCTGGGTCATGGATGGCTCGTTGATGATTTCCCGTTTAAGTCGCCTGCTGATTTTGCTCCGGATGACTTCCGTCGCACTTGTAAGTATCTGACATTGGCCGACACTTGGAAGTGATACAGGTCACGGTCCGATGATATGCGAGACACTAATGCGGGTTCTTTCTTTCTCTTTCAGCGCCCAAATTTCAAAGTGAAAACTTCTACAAGAACAGGCAAATCGTGGATGAGATCAAGAAGCTTGCCGCTCGGAGGGGCTGCACGACTAGTCAGATAGCGCTCGCCTGGGTAGCAGCCCAGGGTATGATCGCAATTCCTGGGACGACAAAGGCCAAGAGACTGGAGGAAAACTGGGCCTCGCGAGATATTGCTCTAACGAATGAGGAGATGCAAGAGTTCCGCCGGGTGGTTGATGCGGCCAAGCCTCATGGAAATAGATACGGACCTGAGAATCAGGCAATGGTTGGTCATTAGACTAGCCAAGGCTGGTTCGCTCCCCAATTCATTCGCGAATAGATTGAATTGCGATCTCGCAGTGTGAAACGATGATGACATCTCCTTTCGCTTCCAATATTACAGTCATCCTTATAGCTCCTGTCAACTGCTCAGGCATTGATGAAATGGTTACCTGAGAGGTGGTTTTGAAGGTCAAGATGCGGATGGCAAAGCGTCGACTGGCTCTGCTTCTCTATTTTGTGGTATTCTGTCATGAAAAAACAGGAACAAGGAGAGATGGAAACGAGATCATAGCATACAACCCGCATGCGGGGGAGATCGCAAAATAGCAGAAAGTAAGGAATCCATATACACTTCGCGGTAAATCAGCCGATTAACGGTAAGCTTATGCGCTCTTAACCTTCTCGGTCAACTCGGGAACCTTGTCAAACAGATCACCCACCAGACCAACGTCCGCCACCTGGAAAATGGGAGCTTCGGGGTCCTTGTTGATTGCGGCAATGACCTTGCTATCCTTCATACCAGCCAAATGCTGGATGGCTCCAGAGATACCGGCACACAGGTACAACTCAGGAGCCACGTTCTTACCAGTCTGGCCAACCTGCAGACTGTTGTCAGCGAAGCCACTGTCGACGGCTGCGCGAGAGGCACCAATAGCGGCGCCGAGAGCGTCGGCAAGAGGCAGCATAACGCGGTCAAACTCCTCCTTGGACTTCAGACCACGGCCACCAGAGACGACACGACTAGCGGTCGCGAGGTCAGGGCGCTCGGACTTGGTGAGCTCTTCGGATACCCACTCAGTCTGGGCGGGAGCGTTCGTGTCAACACCGTCGACAATCTCGGCAGAGCCGCCCTCAAGCTCGACTCCTTGGAAGGCTGTGCCTCGTACTGTGATCACCTTGACCTTGTCGGAGGATTGGACGGTCAAAATAGCGTTTCCGGCATAGATGGGGCGAACAAAAGCTGTAGGCGAAGAACGATTAGATCAATCTTCCACATGGAAAAATAATTTCATGACACTCCGTATTTATACGTACTGTCTTCGCTCTCGATAGCGGTTATATCAGAAATTTGCTGGACGTCGAGAAGAGCAGCGACACGGGGAAGAAGGCTTTTGCCAAAGGCCGAGTGAGGAGCGATGATATGTGTGAAATTGATATGTGTGAAATCGCCCGTTTTGATGTTCTCAAGCAGCATAGGCGCGTAGTTCTCAGGAAGTCCCTACAATGACAACACACGTCAGTGAGATTCATGAGTGAGAGATTACAGGCGTTGCTCGCGTACCTTTTCGTATGCATCATTCTCGACAGCAATGACCTTGTCAAGGCCCTTGATCTTGGCGGCTTCAGCGGCAGATGTACCCTTGACACCACTTCCAGCCAGAAAAGCTGTCACAGGTCCCCCCAACTTTTGCGCCGCAGCGATCGCAGAGGCGTATGAGCCTTGCAGCTTGCCATCGCGCTGCTCGAGAACAGCGAGTGTGGAGAGAAGGCGGGCGAGCGCCGAGGAAGTTGGCGACGTCAGAGTGCGGGCTGCATAGATCTGCGAGCGGGCGGCCCGCAAGACGGACGATCGAGCAATGGGGATCATCACGAAATCTTTGTTTAGCTGTGTAGATGTGCGCAAGTTTTGTTCGAAAACCGTAGAGCAGGAGAGCAAACAGTCAGAGTTGACGCTCGGCGATCGGCGGTGATGTGAAAGTCGAAGATGTGGTTATCGTCGGGATGCCAAGACCCGCGCGCCCGAGGTCGGACTCGGCTAACACAGGCATCTTTGAAGTCTACGTGCATGAGCCGCCCGAGCCTATGACGCTGCAGATGCAGATGATCGTCAGGTATTGTTGTATAGCCACTCGAATATTCGGAAGAGTAATTTGGTCCGAATCATTTTTAATCTTACAGAGTTCATAGACGGATCCACCAATTGGTGAGGATAATATTCGACAAAAAAAGATAACACACGTGATATTTTGTACGCCGAGAATACCTTTACATGCAAAGAAGTTATAACGAGGCAAAAACAGATCCGACTATGATGTGGTCGACTTTCTCTTCTTCTTGCCAGCCTTGGCGGCCTCAGCCACGACAGGCTCACCATCTTCGAGAGCCTTGGCCTTTTGCTTCTGGAGCTTCTCTTTCCTGGCAGCGGCAGCCTTGGCCTCCTCTTCGTCCTCGGCGGACTTGGTCTTCTTGGACGCCTTGCCCTCGAGAAGCTTCTCCTCACCGGTAGACTTGCGCTTCTTACTGGACTTGGGCGCGTCCTCGATCGCTGCAGCCTGATCTTCCTCCATCACGTCGCCGTCTTCGACCCACAGCTCGTTGGCTAGCCAGATAGGAAGAGCCATGGTGTTCGCGCCCTTGACGTGAATGGCCTTGATGTTCCTCCAACCCTTGTTGATGAACTTTTCGGTCATACCGTTCACGACCGCACTGATGTTCTCGGACAATTGCTCAGCGGTAAAATTGGACGAGCCAACACGGATAGCGGAGGAAGTGGAGGGGGCGAGCTGGACTGCGGCACAGTGCAGGGTACGTTCGATCTCTTTAGCGCAGATCAAGGGCGCGGCGAAGGAAGCCTTCTTCTCATCCTTGGAGGGCTTCTTCTGCTTGGGGTCTTTCTTGACACGCTTGCCGTCGACCTTCTCAATCTCGGCGATACGGATGGGAATGGGACGCTTGCTGGACTTGTAGAAGATCTTACCCAGGGTGGGGATCAGGCGGGTGATGATTCGGTCATCGGCAAGGAAAACGTCATGCTCAGAGAACAGTTGACGGCGACTTTCGAAACTTTGATAACGAGCCTTGAGCTTGGAGAAGCCAATGACCTTCTCGATGCGCGAGGAAAGTTCCTGGGGGAAAGCGGGGTCGGCGACCACGTCCTTGAATCCACGCTGAGGATCGGCGGTGATCACGCAAATGCTGAGAGAGGGAGATGTGTGTAGAGAGTGGGGAACCACGATCTTGCCGGGCTTCAGGCGGTTCTTGTCCACGACATGCTTCTTGGTGGTGAGCAGCAACCAGACGGCCTCATTGTTGATGGGGGTATCCTCGTCGTCCGAATCGTTGTCTCCAATAAGAGTCTTCTTGGTCGCCGTCTTTTCCTTTTCTTGCTGGTTGGACTTGATATGGCGCAGCAGGGCGGTGGAAGCTTTCACAACCTGCGCAAAGGTAAAGGATTAATTCTCGCTGCTGGATGTTGGATGTTGGGATGGATTTGCAGACATTTCCACGTACCTGAGGGTTGTCAAGCTGATAAGGTGTGCCAGTGGCTGCCTTTGTCGTGAGGGTAGTGGAAGACGGCATTTTGATGAATATCTGTCTCAATCTCGCCTACAATTTTTCGGCGACGATATTGAGACTCAAAAAAATTTCTGGGAAGGCGGAGTGAAAAGTTCTGCCACTCCGGTGAGGCTTGGCGTTCTAGTTCTGAACCCCAGAGCTTGACGGCCTGAGGCATTCAAGCCGACCTTTCCATGGGGCGTTCGATGGCTCGAAGCCCCACGCGGATTCGGGCGACTTGGGGGTCCTGCGGCGGCTCTGCTCAAAAGTCATCTCGAAGTCAGTCCGTCTTGTTTGCGACACACGTGCTACATGCGATGTATCAACTGACGGATAATCTTTTTTAGACTGAAAAGATGGATTGCTATTCCGGTCATATTCGAGCCCTTGTCAAGACCCAATCCGTGTCCACACGATGTGCACTTTCTACATACCTAATGCAGTGATCTCCTTTCAGGTTCCGATGTGTTACGTGAAGTCGATCCAGGAAACGCATGAGAATCGACCAAATTTGAGATTTTAAGATCGCAAGGGTCGACTGTCACCTGACTAGGTACGAGACAGTAGCCTGTGACGTAGATAGAATCTCGTGCTGGTTTCGTAGCAATCTCACCATCTCCAACCGTCTCGACTTTTTAGCTTCCTAAGTACATGGGAGTGTTTTTGGTGATGACTTTGAATGAAACCAGCCGTTCAACCGCGCCTTCGACCCTCGCCCGCAGATGCCTCGCGTGGTTACATTCAATGGTGTTGGCGCCTGGTGGCTATCAAACGGACCTGTGCAACGGTCCTAGGTACATGTCTCATTTCGATGGTCCAAAGCCTGATTAGCGCTCCCTCATGTCCAGTATTCCCGCCTCGATCACGCGCTTCAATCATATGCCGGACCTTTTTTAAAATTTGAACCTCGAATCAACAGATCTTCATATTGTTCCGTCTCGCGCAATAATGCCAGTAGCGCGCATGCTGTCGTCGGCCACGTCTATTCATTTGCGCACGATGGAGTCTCGAATCTGGCAATTGACTCTGCTGGCCAGTGACGGGGAACAGACCACCTCTCTGCCGAGGTGGGTAGTAGATATATATTTCAATGAGGGTGGGAAATTCATTGATTCCATCGGGTTTAACCATACATCTCTTGCCCATAAATTCTCTTTTGCACAGACAATCGACCATTTACGGGGGACGAGCAACACCTATCGATGATCAATGCCAGCCGAGTCAGGTAGTGGCGGGGTAGTAAAGGGTACTAGAAAGATTTAGTATTAGGGCGACTTCCATGACTGTGATCAATTCATCCATTAAAGAAGGGGGAGCTGAGCGACACACGTATTCCGACGAACGGACACGGAAGTGCCGGTCGGGTACCTACCTTAGGTGTTCATCTGATCATACAGTCAGTGACACATTGTCGAGACGCACATGGAAGGCAGAGTTGACTGGAGAGACTGGTCGAAGCTGGTGTGAAAGACCGTAATGAGGGTCGACTGCGTACGGTACTTGATAGGTCGTGGACAGTAGAACTAGACACTCCACTAGGAGGTACTATAACCAACGTTTCCAACAACCCGTCCGACACAATATATATTGAGCGATAACCCTATGATCGCGAAATCCATACATGCTCATAACCTAAAGCATTCATATGGCAGGAACCTCTCCGTCGACATTGACGGACTCCTTTCATCAGTTATTTTCTGAATTTGTAGGAGTCCTGCTCTTCAGGATTTGCAGGTGGTGATAATCAATATGTGATGGACACTCCAAGGTTGACGATCATCGCCCGACCAGGTTCAAAGTTGACACTGGTGCCCGGCGTGACCTAGGTCAGGTACCTGGTAGGTATCGATTCGATAGGGGGATGATCAATCTGCCCGAGAAACATAAAAACCGCAAAGCGAACTCTGATACAGAAAATCTTTCCTTCTCTATGCTTCAAAAGCATGCAGCAGTGTAGATTGTAGATACCAAGTTTCCTATCTTTGGTTTCGAGGCACACTCGTCAATGGATTAGGTACGTGAGGTGTAGATCGTGCGGACTCGCGATGTCTGCCGTGGGTAGCTTGGGATATGACCCCTGAACGGCCGCCATCAATACTGTTTGGAAAAGATTTCCCACATATTCCTAATCCTCGCAAACCTTATGACCTTGACTGGAAAGCGCTTACTGATACATGCACTGAGATGAATCAAGTACATAAGATTTTAGTCCTCAGTTGATAAGGTAGCCACCGTCTGTGTCTGCCAAGTTATCTCGCACTTGACGCATTGGAAATTGACGAGGGGGCGTTGCTGCGGTGTAAATGTTTCTTTGTGTACAACTGTACACGGACGGGAACAACCAACATTGAATCTTGGAAGCTGCGGGCGCTGCTGCAATGGGCAAGGAGCTTCTATAAGGTGGGTACAACACCAACAGCTAGAAAGTTGTTCGTCACTTCGTATAACTAAAGGGGGGTGCTACTTTGAGGAAAGCTCTGACGAGGTAGGTCTGGAGATGGGGCTGAGAGACTCGTCATCATGTGGATCATCCTTATCGAGCGGTACAATTTTGAAGTTGCAAATGGCTCTGAAGTTTGTGGCCTGAGTGCTACCTAGAAAATGAGTACCGTCGGAGTGTAGTCCCTAAGGTATGGGGATGATCTGTAGGGAGATCTTCAGAGTGCACCGTTGGAGGTTGAGATCATTCGATGGAAAGCGCTGGTATATACATAGGGCGCTATATATCATTATCTCCTGCTACGACGAACCTTGGAGCGGAGGTGACTACTGTGACTTCGAATGTTGATGCCGCTGGTCATCATCGGGTGGAAACGTCTCAACAAGATTCCTCTAGAGTATTAAAGGCAGATGGACTTTGGAGAGACCCACCAAATATGGATCGTGTATCGCTCACTTCACATGATTTGCTGATCTCGCAAGATTGGAGAGGGACAAGCAATTGCTGTTTAATGGCATCTCGGTAATCATCGGCGAAGTCACAAGCACCCCACGGGACACCCGGCGGGGACAAGTAAAGCCTACCTCAATGTGTGAGTGATGCAAAACGGATGATGTTTAGACAGTGGCAACTACACCATGGACAGTGATACAATGATATTATGATACGAGTATGTCAGCAAGGGCAGAGTGCCAATCCCGTCATACTTGTCGTGCGAAAACTCGGTGGTATGACTATGAAGGATGCTTGGTACATCAGCTGAGGCCGATATGCCACTGGAACTCCTAAATTGTAATTGTTAGCGTACCAGTCGATGTGACCTCGGGCTTCGACAGACTGAAGGGCTGACGTAATCTTCTTCTTCAGCCTGGAAAGTTGTCCACTGCAGTGTTTCTCCACGGCTGGAGAGCGAGCCAGGCCAGACGAACCCACAGTCCCGTACCCTCGCGAAAAGCTAGTGTTATTCCGCCAGGCTACGTTGTTTGTTTTGACCGAGCTTTGAATGATTACCATATTTGTTGGTTTTTTCATGCTTGATGAATTCTATCGGCTAACCGTCTATGAGTCTGCGAGGGGGTCCAGGTCTCAGTGACAGAGAGGTGCTGCAGTGAGGGTTGAGTACCTTGGATCAAAGTCAGGCGCAGCACAAGCGCCCCTGGCGTGAGATCGCCAGGGCTTGCAGCACACGGTGACAGAAGCATTCAGCTTTTTGTCACTCAGACGTCCAAAGAGCCTGACTCAGGCATCACGGATCTTATGGACACAGACGCGGTCTGACTTTCACTTAATGGGACTAGATTATTATAGGCCATAACAGTCAGACTTCTCAGCGATTGAGTTGAGATGAAGTCATTCAAGCAGTAGTCACTCGAGTCACTCGACTCGTAGTGAACATAGCGTGACATGATAAGGGGGCTCTCTTTCGTTCCGTCAGTGAGAGAGAGGCTGGGCACAAATTTTGGTACGGAGGCAGTGACTAAGGGAAAGTACTTTGTCTGACTCAGGACCATTGCCTCTCTGGCTGGACATGAAAAAGGCCACTGTTGACCTACTCACCACCGCCAGGGGGTCACAGCGGCCTGCTGGGCAGCCGGTGGAGCTGATGATTGGTGTGCCTGGCCCCAAGTGGAGTCTAATCTCCTGGCCGGCCGCACACCCGCGCTCTTTTGCGTCTTCATTGGCTTTTCCCCCTGACGCTTGGGTCATTTCCATGGGCGGCAAGCTCCCAGGAACCAAACACCCACGGAAATTGGAAATTACAGATGCGCGAAGCACACCACTACTGAGAGTCGGTGGACCTCCCCCCCCAAGGTGGATGGGATGATCTATGGGTATCTCAATGCTGGAAATCATGATGGACACTGCAGACATCAATGGTGCGATCAAGGGTGGGCACCAGGGCTGGAAAAGTGGGCGAGGCCTATGCCAAGAAACAGCGTGACAGTCGAGACCTGGAGGGCTTCATGAATCGCGGGAACGGTTACTCAGGCCAGTGGCTGAGAATCTGAAACATGACTATCGCCATGGGTCACTGCCGGGCAAGCGGCAGCGGTGCGACCAAAACAAGTCCTCATCAAGACAGGTGCCCCTGGGCAGTGAGCAGCTAAACACAGGTAGATGGTCCAGAGGGCCTGATAACTAGGGGGCAATGTGCGGTCGAACAATCACATCGTGGGATCTATCGTGATTCAGAGTTTGTGAGCAGTAGGACTAGGAGGAGACAAACCCTCTGACGGACATGAGTTACAAAGCCCACTTTTACTTGCGCAAAGTCTAATTGAGGTGCCGAGATGAGCGGCGGTGCCTTGATACTTAATAGGCAATCAAATTACTACAGCGATCAGCGACCTAAAGACAAAAGCAGTCCTGTACATTGTAGCTGTATAGTCAATGTACTGTACATACCCCGTCTTGGTCTTGATTAGGGGCCCCTTTTCGACACTCTCTGACTACTACTGTATGCTTCCTGCATGTTGAAGCCGTTCCGGACTGTTTGACCAACGGTCCAATACAGCACTCGGCATAGACCAATGCACATCAATTTAACACACAAACACGCTCCACATCACACACGGTTGACTGTTGTCCATGCGTAAAAAAACAATCTGTCCCAGATTTCACAAGGCGCTGGCTGAGTGGCCCAGTATAGTGGCTCCCCCCCCCCCCCCCCCCCCCACATCCCAGGCCCCAAGGCCCCCGTCCTTAGGCCGCCCCCCTCCTTTCCACACCCACATATTATTATCCCTGGGGTTTTATTCTTCCCTCTTCCCTCCTCTCCTTTCTCGTTCTAGCCTCAGCCTTTCAGTTTTCCTCCCTCCGACCAGAGAGTTCCATCTCTCTCCCACGTTCTTTTCGGAAATCCTGTCGCTCCCTCTCACTCTCGACTATCGAAGCGATCCGGTCTTTTCCTCAAATTCCCCCCTTTTTGTGTACAGCCCTTGAACGAGAACGCGCGACTGGCTTGCGTCTGATGTATGTGCTATCCTGTATACTCCCACAAAGAGGGTGTCTCTGGCCAAGGGGAGGATAAGTCCAGTGCGGATCGCAGATGGTGGCTCTCGCAAAGTGCCCAGCAACACCAGAGATGACATGTGATGTCGACCGAGACGCGCAACGTAATGCCCTCTCAGATAGGTTGGGGATGCGATGTCGCGCAAACATCACGCCGCTCTTCCCCCCTGAACCCGATCGCAACCACTCGCCATGAACGAAGAGCATGGGTGTATGGCCAGGGACGCATCCTTCTGGAGATGACGGGAGCTTGTGCAGCTGGGATCTTGCGGACATTGACTAACCAGATGGCGACTTTCTTTCATATAGATCCCCTCCTCTCCCCCCGTTCAAATACGTGAAGCACCATGAAGTTCACCGTTGCCACAACTCTGGCCACGGCCGGCACCCTGGCCGCCGCTCATGGCCATGGCCACGGTCATGCTCACCTTCACCAGCGCGCTGCCGGAACCCAGACCGAGACCGCCGTCTCGGCCGGTGCCACTGTCTATGACTTCGTGGTCATGGATCCCAGCAATGGCTCCCCCAAGGTGATCAGCGGCAAGGAAGCTTGCGCTGGCCTCGCCAAGCACGAGTTCGAATGGTTCGACGGTGCCATCCCCGAGGCTTGCGCTTCCGCCGCATCCAGCTCCAGCGATGTCCTCTCGTCCGCGACTCTCGCAGCCCACGTGCTCATGGAGACCGCCGCCGTGGTCATCCCCACCACCAGCTCCGCGGCCCCTACCTCGACCTCTACCACCAGCTCAAGCAGCTCCACTTCGACCTCCTCCACCAGCACGACTAGTTCGACCAGCACCACCAGCTCGGCCGCCCCCACCCACACTTCATCTGCCAGCACTGCCACGGGCCTCAACGCTGAGTTCCCCGATGGTGAAATCGACTGCAGTGATTTCCCCTCCAGCTATGGTGCCGTCCCACTGAACTACCTTGGCTTGGGAGGCTACTCTGGCATCCAGTACGTGACCATTGCGGGTTCTTTCGTCACTGAAATTGTCACCGCCGTCGCTGGAAACGGCTGCACCAGCGGTGCCATGTGCTCATACGCCTGCCCTCCCGGCTACCAGAAGTCCCAGTGGCCCACTACCCAGGGCTCCACCGGTCAGTCCGTCGGTGGCCTGCACTGCAAGAACGGCAAGCTGTACCGGACCAACTCCGATTACAAGACTCTTTGCATCCAGGGCACTGGTGGCGTTCACGTTCGCAACGAGCTGAGCAGCACCGTCGCCGTTTGCCGTACCGACTACCCCGGTACTGAGTCCGAGACCATTCCCCTCGCCGCTCAGCCCGGCCAGGTCGCTCCTCTGACTTGCCCCGATGCCAACACCTACTACCGCTACTTGGGCAAGGGCACCTCTGCTCAATACTACGTCAACAACAACGGTGTCTCCATCGAGGAGGGTTGCCAGTGGGGTGACGGCTCCAAGCCCGTCGGCAACTGGGCTCCCATGAACTTGGGTGTCGGCCGCACTGATTCGGGCACCTGGTTGTCCATGTTCAAGAACGAGCCCACCACCGATGCCGATCTGAACTTCAAGATCAAGCTTGTTGGTGATGACCTCAGCGACAACTGTCGCTACGACGGTGCCGGCAACTTCTACAACAACGCCGGTTTGATTCAAGGAAACAATGGATGCACTGTGAGTCATACCAACTGCCATTTGTCATTGAATGGGGCTGTGATCATGAATGCCAAGGGCACAGTTACTAACTCGTCCTCACTCTCAACAGGCCCGATCGGCGTCTGGCAATGCCTACTTTGTCTTCTACAACTAAGCACCACCCTCGCGCTAAGTAGGTCGAGGTCTCGCATCTCGGCCTTTTGACAATTTAAAACCTCTACGGTCTAGATGATGCCTGATTTCCCCTTTGTTGCCCTTTATTTTTCCCACCATATTCTTCCCGAAAGGTGCTCGTAGTGGATCGAGGACAAGGCAATTGAATGAACCGGAGAAGCACTCGAGCGTCTGTTTCCCGCCGCCTTGTCTTTCTCTCTCCGCTACCTGTGCTTCTGTCTATATTACGGCTTGTTGTCTGAGGGGAGCCCCTTTATCCTTTTCATCTTCACTTCCAATGTATCTTACCTTCTGCCATCTGCTTGATCGTGGCCTGTGTGGGGTTGAAACTTATCTTTTGGTTACTTCCGTGTTACTTCCGTTCTAGATATCAAGTACTCGTTCTCGCTCGAATTGTGCTGTCACTTCGTCGTAACTGTGCTATCATCTATTCCTAGGCGATCAGGCTGTTTGACACGTAGCGCTGGAGATTTCGGCAATGACCTGTGCATTTTTCTGATGTTCACTCAGCACCGGGCGATCTGGTGCCAGGAGTGCCAGTATTCTTGTTGAGGGAATTGTCGCGCTAGAGTCTCTACTGTGTCTTGTTTTCGGTCTCATTCCATCGATCAATATGCACCGTGTCTACAATTTGGCTCGGCCTACCGAAGAGCGCCATGATTCACGAGACCCATTTATGGGCAATGTGTTTCATTCGACGAAGTGTTGACTCCACGGCTGACATGAGGCTCGCTCCATCCTCCGCTGACACTAAGGCATTCGGAGATACTCAACAGTATCAGTTTTTTTATACTTTTTTTTTGTGTGTGTGTGTGAAGCTGAACGCGACATCATCGAATACATGATGAATGAGCCAGCCACGAACAAGATACCAAATGACAGATCTATCAGGTGATTCGGGGAGAATGGCTACAGTATAACGATTCTTGCATCATACCTACACCTCACTTGTTCACTACGTACTCTACCCCTGGATTCGAATTGCGGGGAAGGCGAATATCTTGACAGATCGAGTTCTTCAGTTCTCGGCTCGACCAGCCCATGGAAATGAACTTCACAGATCTACATATCTACTCAGGTGGCCCTCTGTCGATACAGGTAGATCCGAGGTGTGGAATGGCCAGGTTTGTTGACACTGTGGTACACTGGTACCGTGACTCAACTCCCAAATGTTGGTTTTCCATCAACCTCACTGCCTTCCCAGCAAGTAACCTTAAGTGGTCATCAAATACTCAATAAGTGCCTTCCATCTCCAAGGTAACCACGTTTTTGAGTTTCGGGTTCGAGGAATGTCACTTCTAGATCGACTTGCCGATGACCCCAGGGCAGCGAAGCGGCCCAGTCCATTCATGCGCGGATCTTGTCGATCCCCACATACCTCTAGCTGGAGTCCATGACTACCTGACACTTTAGGCTAACTATGTATGTACTGACTCGGCGAATGGTATGCTTGATCGAGTCGATTTCGTCTTGCTAGTCTGGCAGCCTCTGCTGCAAATGTCGAGCGTTGCTTGTATACCCTCAAGGCATGGAAAAGCTGGATGGACGGAGCGTATAAATTGTGAGCTGACAATCCCGTGAAGTTGGCCAACTCCATGACTGGTTGCAGCAATATGAAATTATCAATGGAGCCCAGAATTCCATACATGTGCAAGCTCGATGCATCTGCTCTCTGCTCGAACGATCACTGCGCCGCAAGGAGAATGCAATTTTGTATGGAGAGTGGCCGGGTATCCTGCAGGATCGCAGGCGATCGCCCGAGGAACTACAATACACGCTCGTAGCGGCTGTTCGCTTTGCAGTCAGTTTGACAGCTATTCGTTAGTCGTGAGTATTGAAATCGGTGAATCTTCTATGCTCAGGATGTCTTCGAGACTCTAGATGAAAGATTTCGATCAATCGAGCATGTGGGTAGTTTTGCGCAAATCTCAAATTGTGGAGGTAATTTGACCACCATCAACAGGCCACTAACTAGCAGCTGGGCTAGTCTTCTATTCCGAATGCACAGACAGCATCGTTGGTCCGAGCTTAGTACCTATGGGGTGGTCGGTAGACTCGGTACTCGGTAGCCGAGACTCAACCTTGGACAGTGACACCTTCTAGGTTTGAAGCTATAGACCAGAGTTAGGGAATTGCGATACTGAGGAATGGCCGATCTCGTTGGGACGATCGGAAAGAAGATTGGGATTAAGAATACCTTTCAAGTTTGCTTCAAGAATTTGTGGAATAGGCTCTGACTGCGAGGTATGCATGGAAAAGGATCGATGGTGATGATCAGTGATCTCATTGGATTCTAGTGGCGTTTCTTGGAGGAAAATGAATACAAACTCAATCTCACCACAGGAAATGTACACTTGTGCAGTATCCTTATGTTGTTGGGTGGTTGTATACTCCTCCACTTGGGTGTACAGTAGACTCGAAAGTAGAAACACTACCTAATCTTCCGACAGCACTGCCATTCTAGTAGTTACATCCTACGTACCACGTACCTTAGTATCGTTGCGTGCCAATCGACCAGCACGCATACTCTTCAGTCAACATTTTACAGTCTACAACCCTACACAGTCAGAGTGTTGGCAGCTCAACGCAATCGACAGCCCCCACACCAGGGCAACCTTCCTGCCGGGGCGAAATCTTGCTCCAGATCTGAGGTCATTCTACTATCCAGTACAGTGCTCACTGCGCAGTGCTAAGTGCTACACTATAGTACCATGCAGATCAAGTACGCAATATTCATGCACTGGCCATGGAAACTGGCTAGTCGGTCAATACTCATGTCACATCACCGTCCTGTTCCATGTGTCATTCACGCTCTTCCCCGGAAGTGAGAAAGAAAAAGAAATCTTGATCGAGACCTTGCGTGGACTCCATTCTCCATTTGCATGGTTGATGTGGAGGGGCTGGGCCAGTCCGCCAGGTGATGATCACTTGGGTAGCGTAAGACGGTCAGGTATTTCGTAGTTACAGTAACGTTAAAATCGATCAAATCCACTGGGACTTGACGCAGTCACGTAACCTCACCAATTATTCACGCGCCATGAGAACTCCACGAAGCGAAAATTTTCCCTCCAGTCCTCCACAGCCCCGCCTTCTCCGGTCAGCCGTGAAGAGGGATCGGATTAGTAGTAGACTCGACTTGGAGGATGAATTGAGGAACACTTTCGAGAGTTAATATCTCTATCTCTCATAGAACCGACTTTCGATCACAGTGCCTAGGTGGAATCACAATGGCTGGATTCTACTCAATTTAGTAGTAAGTAGTATGAGTACTTCCTCAAAAGTATAAGGGTACGTGGAGTTGACTGGAGAGGTATTCTGTTCTCGGCTGATTTGAGTGAATCACAAGCTTCCGCCGCGGTGGTTCCGCACTGTCAATATGAGATACTCAATAGTCAATACGAATAGGAGTCAGGCAGGACTAGCTCGAGCTTGTCCTACAGATGTGTTTCTATGGCAGTGCGAATTCCCCGTCACATAGTCTCGCTTTGTATGAGACATCAGTTCAGAAACCCACAGCTGCTCAAGACCCCAGGTCACAATATGGCATCCAGCTATGCTGCCAAAGTCGAAATACACATTACGCAGCTACGCACTGGTCCAGAAGTCAATGGAAACGAACACCCATTTCGGCCTCACCGAGCTTGTCTCCGTATGCAGCAGTAACCTTGAACTCGCGTGCCCCGTCACGACCCACTCCTCGGTACACACGTGACTTGAGACGCGACCGCGTAGTGCAGCGGACGAGTCTATTTACGAGGACTGCAACTATGTAGAGTGAAGTGTAGCTTTCGATCGAGCCATGGACTCTGCAAATCACACGCAAAGTACCTTGATCGCGATATCTGCCTTGACTGCCCCCGGATCATTCAAGTAAAGGCTGGGTAAGGGTGACGGGGGTTGGCGTGGAAAGAAATAGTGGAGCCCACCCTCGTCGGCGCCTGTAGAACGCGTCTCTGACTGTAAGCGTGCATTACCGCGCAGGGTGAACCCACCGTCTCTACTGCATTCCACTACTGCTGCCACCTCACCTAGCGACCTTCCTTCACTTCCCTCCTCCAAAAAGGATCTCGCTCCCCTTGGTAAGCCAACTTCCCCTCCTTTTTCCCATTTGATAGCCCTTGAGGTGCCTTTCCAGCTCATCGGAGGCCTTTATTTATCTTTTCTTCACGTCCCGTCTGGGTGATCTCGAGCAAGACGCGGGTGACGCGAAAGCCGTCAAGTCAAGACTTTTTTCTTCCCCTCTGGGCCGTCTACTAATCATTTGAGTCTACACCCAAATCAGATCCGGACAAGTCGTCAGTGAACAAGCTTCGTGTGAGTTCTGCACACGGAGGGAAACATGATGGACTCGTCTCCCGCCCTTGTTCGTTCGGCCTCTGCGGCTGGTGTGAAGCGTCCTGCGGCTCTGCTGCCCGCCTTCGAGCCTTTGACCTCATCGCCGTCCCTCCCGCGGCCGTCGAAGCGGGTGGCTCGTGATAATGCTTACCCAACGCCAGTCCCGACCTCATCAACCCATATCCTATCCTCGTCACCTCCCGCTGCTCGGCCGTTGCTTCGTCGTACCTTCTCCGCCGCTACGGAACGGTCTCCCTTGTCGGCTGTCCCGCAGGTGATGTTGCCTGAGAATGGCGAGCCGGTGCTCATGGGCCGATCCAGTGCTTCGTGCCACCACCAGCTCGCAGCGAGTCGAATGATCTCGCGTGTGCACGTCAAGGCAACCTACAAACCCGCCCCGAATCCCTTCGATCGTGACCAAGTGGAGATTATGTGCATGGGCTGGAATGGTATCAAGATCCATTGCCAGGGGAAGACGTACGATTTGGCAAAGGGCAAGACCTTTACATCGGACATAAAGGATGCGGACATCATGATTGATGTTCACGAGGCACGCGTTTTGGTGCAATGGCCGCGACACGAGCTCGACCGCAAGGACTGCCCCTCGACTGATTCCGAGCAGACATGGGACGACGGAACGCCAACCCAGAAGAACCCTCACCGGAGACGCCATGAGAGTCCCTTCCTGGGAGGCGAGCGCCTCGGCTCTCCGGACTCGCCATCACCCGCTGTGCGCAATGTGATTCCTCCATCGTCGCCTATCTTCACACCTTCTCGCGGCCGTGGATCTGTGATTGTGTATGAAGATGAACCCTCTCCATTGAAGCGCCATAACACTGTCGGTGGATTCTCGGCGTACAGCGCTCGTCGAGCGAGTGAAATGCTGCAGATCTCTCAGTCTAGTGACGTCAGCCGACATCACGACGAATCTGATAACGACGAGGAGAACGATCCTATCGTGCATTCATTCGGTCCATTTGGAGATAATCTACTGCCTCGTCTGGCTTCGTTCCACGCAGGTGGGTCTCCCAGTCGTTCTCCCGCGGCACGTCGGCGCTCGGTGACTCCGGTACCTCGTGCTCACGCGGATTCTTCCCGTCATATCGAAAGCTCGGAGGAGAAAGAAGAGGTCGAGGTCAAGACCCAGGAAGAAGAGGAAACCTTTGAGCGTGTTCGCAACCATGCCATCAATCAGTTGGCTTACTCACGTCTGTCCTCGACCCCCTTCTCAATCATTCTCAACAACCTTCCCCCGTCATTCTGGAAATCCGACAAGGTGGCCAACACCTCTGGTCCCTCGCGCTCTGACATTCGCACCATTCTGGAAACCACTAAATGCATTGGCAAGGTTGCGCGTGAAGGCAAAGACGCCGCTGGACAGCCGTTAGAAAGCGAGTTCTACTACATTCCCGACTTTGACGAAGACATCATTCGCCGTGAGACCGTGGTGACCAATCTTCGCAAGCCGGGTCTCCGCAACTGCCGCAAGCAACACAAGGTACGACATCTTCCACCTCCAGATTTCACCGCTTCCCCACATTCCCCCGATCGTTCCTCTCTCCTTTTGTGGGTGGCCGATACTAATTTCTATTTAGCAATATTTCTGGAAGAAGCCGAAATAAGTCCCAGTTCCTACCCCAGTTCCGGATCGATTTCTCTTTCGTATATATTTGCAGTGTTCTTGGCCACCCAGACAAAAGCCTATCCTGGGTGGTCCGCATAGCGTGGCGTGTGGCATACCCTTATATTGTTTTCGCTTTAGTTTCTTATGCGCCTCATTATTTCCCCATCTCCTCCTCGGCTCCCGCAAATCACTGACCTCTGTGGACCTCGACCCGTGGGCCTAGCCTCTTGTTTTGCGATTTCTTCCTTTTTTTCGACTTAACCTCTCCTCCTTGCATCGGCATGACGATGTACGATTGTGTGCTGCGATTCCATTTGCCACATCTGTTGTCTTGGCTTTTGTTGTTTTGTGTTCCCAAGGGGACTTCTTCGTACCTCTCATGATGCGTGATGGATTACCGACATTGACGGCCGCTTTTGCTTTGATTCCGACTGCTATTTTGTTTTTTTGTAACATGTGTCTGTTCGATGTACCGGTTTCACCAGTCCACCTCTATTACCTTCCCTGTCGTCTCTTTTTGTACGAGTGCTGTTCCCTCGATCATGATGACGAGCTCAACACATGGGCTCCTCGTCGCGTCCCCACCTCTTTTGTTTGTCCGCTTTTTGCCTTCAGAGGCCCGATCTCACCGGGTCCGTGTGTTTGGGTAACACAATTGACCTATGATGTCCGAGTGTGTATCTTGACTTTAATTCTCCTCTTACAGGCAAATAGATCAAAAGTCTTAATTCATTCATGACACGCCTGCATCGGGTCAAATAGATAACGTGAGAAAGTATTAGAACCCAAGTCTTGACCCGTTCTCAATTGGATCTGTAGCGGTCTCCATGTCGGACCCGACATGGGTGCTTCCTCGGGTGAAACTGTGGATCAGGGAGTCGCCGTTAGGTTGTCGTGCTGTGCACAGGGCCAGATACTTCAGGTGGAACTTTATTGCGAGCCAGACCCAGGTATATTCATATGCATCACCTTCCATTCTGATGGACCCTGATCTCACCTGTTAGATTGTCGAGCAGGCGATCGCCATAGAACAATCCTCTCCACAATGTGAACTCCCTTGAAACCCGGCCTCATTCGATGTATTTCCTTGTCTACCGAGTCTAGATTGGTACCTCGTGTCCAGACGTTCTCGCTGCGGCCATTCGCCACTCTTGCGTCACTCGAGCTTTCCCCTCATTTACATTATCTCTGGTGCCGCAGATCGGATAGATATACATTCAGTACAACCATTGGCAGAGCCACCTACTCATAAGGTCGGACGTCGCCAGTCAACACCTTATTACCAAAGTAAAATTCAACGACAGTAGCTTATCTAGAGTCCCAGAAGGGGTCAAGAAAGATGGCCTGATCAATGCTCTACATTTGACGGCTAGCGTAGCTTCAATGACGAGTCTACTTGAAGTATCATGGATGGCTCAATTGCGCCGCCAAATGAGTAGAGTCTGTTACTCTGGGATCCAAAGCAGGAGGCTCGGCAAAAAGTCTGGTACAACTACTTTAAGCCAAAGTTTACATCATGCAATGGGAGCCACCCGGCTGGAGGCAATCACGGTACCACCGCCGTAGTGGCAGCTGCAAGCTGCAGCTAGCTGTGGCTGCACCTTCATCTCAACCCAGACCGCAATCGCCACCAAGTGCCAGTTTTTTTTGAATCTTGTAGGGTCTCGTCTTTATAAAACACTCAGACTCTGTCATTTGGACTGCCAGTTTTACCATTCTCCAAGTCCGTTGAAGCAAACCTGGAAACCATCGGTATTCAACCCAGACTAAACAATTCTCCTCCAGCCTCCAAGAACACCGCGGTCTTCTTTCTACTAAGTTCAGGTCTCGACCTCCATATCGCTCGACTTATCCACATCTAAATCATCACCGAAACCAACCCTCCAGCCACACATCTCGTCCCCATCAAATCACCACTATCTATCAAAATGCAATCCTCAATGGAGAGTCAATCCATGCCTGATCGCACCCGCGAGAATCCCTCCGCTAGCGCTCCCTTCGCCCATCAAGAGGCGCTTCACCGACCACCACCTACTGCAGACTCGGTCTCTCAACAGTCCTGGAAACCCAAGTACGACCGCCGCCAAAGCTGGAATCATGAGGATCAGAAACATGCGTTGCAGGAACGATTGCTGAACCTGGAACCAGCTCGGGAGACTGGGTTTTCTGAGACCGGACGTGAGGTTTAGGTGTTGATGGCGCTGACGACTTGCGCTTACGATCATCGGAAAGCGAGAATTGGCGTTGTATCGGTTGAGATTGAATGGTCTGCGCAAAGGAATGAGGACTGGACCAAGTTGAGTGGCTGGGTCCTATGAGTTTTCTATTGGATTTTCAATCGCGGGTGACAGCGATGCGTTTCATGACTTTGAGGAATAGGTATTAGGTGCTTTCCTGGTGTTACACAATTTTATGAATTAACCAAGGCCTGGCTTTGATATCGCTCATTGCCTCATTTCTTTCCAGTATATTTTGCGTAATAAAAGGATAGTCCATACTCGACACTCGAGAATCCCGAGAGTTGTAAGAGTTGTAATAGCGCGCGTGAGGCGAACTCGATATAACAAAAGCTGTCAAGCCAACGCTGGTACAGGAGGACCCAGGGTTGTCAGTGAAGACGGCGGGGCCTGACTGTAGGATAAGCGCGGCGCCAAGTAAGATGCCTGCTTTGCATGTCCGGCGATCTTCAACCTCCGCACCGCCTGGCAAATCTGCCTGCCTTTGCTCTGCTCCACCATCGCCGCTCATCACCGTCGCTCCTTGAGCCCGACGATCAGATTGCAGGGAGTGCAGTCTCGAGTTCAAAGTGCTTTTTTTTCCCCGCTCCTCGTTCACTAATTTGGCCGCTCCTTTCCCCGATGTGGCATTCAAGTCACTTCAATATCGACCTTTTGGAAGTTCTAAAAGGACCCCGCGACTAAAACCTGTGCCCCCGCAAACGCACACACAGCCATGGATCACCTCAAGAAAAGTATGCGCTTGCATTCGCCGAGCTTTTTCGGACTTTCTCAGCAGATTAACTGACATGTCTGGACAGGGGAGATCCGTGAACTGAATGAGAAAGCATGGGAAGGACAGACTGGTATGTTTAGCTCTTGTTCCTGTTCGAGATTAACTCCACAGAGGAATCACCGCCGAGCTTGACCGTGACTGATCGTCCTGGTAACTGCAGATGTCTTCCCCGTAAGCAAGACCCTCGACTCGGCGCTCAAGAAAAACACAGCTTTCATCAAACGTCTCCGCACCGGTATCAGTGCTTCCGCCCTCGCTACCTTCCTGACGGATATCCGCACCCTCTCGTTGCACAAGTACCTCTCCGAGATCATCTCTGCCTGCTATGAAGGACTTTGCAAACTCAAGTCGCCCGGCGAAATCGCCGCGGGGGTCGAGATCGTGTGCGCTTTGCACCAGCGATTCGGTCCGGCCGAGTTCACGCGGCAGATTGGATGGCTTCTTGGACGTGGCATGAGCTCCATGGACAAGGCCTCGTTGAAGACATTGCCCCAGGAGATGCGCGAGCGCGAGGAAAAGGATCGTCTGAGCCGGCACCGAATCCTTCTGCGTGTGGTGACGGAGTTGTGGTTGGTTGGTGTCCTGAGAACGCTCGACGATACGGAGAGACCCGAGGATGCCAGAAAGGATGCTACAACAGGCAAGTTGCCTGATCTGGTGCCCATGAGAGCGACAAAGACAGCGGCGGCTTTAAAAGAGTTGGAGAAGCAGGCTGAGCCCTTTCCGCTGGAAGTCCTCAAGGATCTACTTGGCCACGATCGCGACCACACCAATTTGCCACTTGCCGTGTTATTTGTGAAGAGCTTTAGCTGGGATGTTCTTGGGACTAAGCTGGTCGAGGAGGGCCGAAAGACTGTCGAGGCGGATGGCGCCACATCAAAACCCAACGGCGGAGAACACGAGGCTACAGACAGCCATGCGGAGACAACTCTAGAATCGGACCCGCCATTGGTTCCGGAGAAGACGCAGCAGCGTTTCAGGAACATCTTGACTCGGTATCTTGACGATGTCAAGGCCCATGTGGTCCGCGACCAGAAGGCACTTGCATCGCAGAGCCGACGCAATGCCGAGGCTTACGTGAAGAGCGGCGAGATCTTTGAAGACCGACAGTCCAATTTCGAGAAGCAGTCCAAATCACTCGAGAAGCTGGTCGCCAATACTCAAGTACTCTGCGAGGCACTAGGTGCAGAGATGCCTGATCTCGTCGAGAAGGAGTCTGCAGATGCCGGCGGCAGCGGTGGCATCGGCCTAGTCAAGACCACGGAGTACCTTCGTGGTCAAGGTGATGGTGCCGGGATCTGGGAAGATGAAGAAGAGAGGCGTTTCTACGAAAACTTGGTAGATCTGAAGGGTAAAGTACCTGCCGTGCTTCTCGAGGATGGGAAGAAAAAGAAAGGGGAGGGTGAAGAAACCGGGAAGAAGAAGCAAGACGGCGAATCTGAAGGTGCTGTGGAAAAATCGACCGAGACAGCTGAGGATCGTGCTGCGGCGGATGCGGACGACCAGTCGACAGCCATTGCCAGCAAAACGGTCGGCGCCCAGGTTGACGCTCTTCTGAGCAAGCTACCTGAGTTGCAGACCAAGGATCAAGTTGATCAATTCGCATTGGACTTTTGTTTTGTCAACTCCAAGGCCTCTCGAAATCGACTTGTTAAGGCCGTTTCCGACATTCCCAAGGGCCGAATTGATCTCCTGCCGCTATACGCTCGCCTAGTCGCGACGCTTGGACAATATCTGCCGGATATTCCACAAGGCTTGACCACCTATCTCGACGAAGAGTTTCGAAGTCTGCAACGGCGCAAGTCGAAGGAATTCTTGGGTCAAGTGCGTATGAGCAATGTGCGATATCTGGCTGAATTGACCAAGTTTGGCGTGGTTCCCGAACACATCATCTTCCACTGCTTCAAAGTCTCATTGGATGACTTTTCTCGTATGAATATTGAGATCATCGGCAACTTGCTGGAGAACTGCGGTCGTTATCTCCTTCGCAACCCAGAGACGTCGCCGCGCATGGCTTCATTCCTGGAGACTCTGAGTCGAAAAAAGACTGTGCAGCATCTGGGTCAACAAGAGCGGATGGTCATTGAAAACGCCGTCTACTACGTCGACCCGCCTCCAAGACCCGCCATCCAGCAGAAAGAAAGAACTCCCGTGGAGCAGTATGTCCGCCGGCTGATTTACCTGGACATGAATAAGCGCAACTACACCAAGGTCCTAAAGACGATCCGCAAGCTCCATTGGGAAGAGCAGGAAGTCGTGGACATTCTCGAGCGTGTCTTCAGCAAGCCAGTCAAGGTCAAGTATGGCAGCATCCACCTTCTAGCGATCTTGATCAGCGCGCTTTATCGCTATCACCAAGTATTCGTGATTGGCATTGTGGACAATGTTCTGGAGCAGATCACGCTCGGCCTTGAACTGAACGACTTCAAATTCAATCAGAAGCGAATCGCCGAGGTAAAGTATCTTGGAGAGCTCTATAATTACAAGATGATCGATTCGCCCGTCATTTTTGATACGCTGTACCGCATTGTTACATTCGGCCACGAGGGCGGCACTCCTGTACCAGGTAGAATTAGTCCTCTTGACATGCCGGATGACTTTTTCCGACTTCGTCTTGCTTGCACCCTCCTTGATACCTGTGGTCACTGTTTCGACCGCGGTTCTGCGAAGAAGAAACTTGATTTCTTCTTGACTTTCTTTCAATATTACCTCTTTACCAAGGACCCTTTGCCCATGGATGTGGATTTCCTGGTCCAGGACACTTACTCTAGTCTGCGTCCTCAGTGGAAATTGGCCACCGATCCAGAAGAGGCTACTCGCATCTTCAGCGAGGCGGTCGCACAGAACTACAATGTGCAAGACGCGGAAAGACATGCAGATCTTGAGGAAGAGGACGCGGAGAGCAGCTCTTCTGACGAAGGACTGGAGGATGACGTCATTCCTGAGATTGAAGAGGATCAAGAGTCGAGCGACGAAGCCGAGGTAAGCTGACCCCTGAAAAATTGTTGCATCATTGACCTCTGTCAAAGTAGCTCGCTAAACAATGACAGGCTTCTGGACCGAATGTGGATGTCAATGATGAGAGTGACTTTGAGGATGAGCACATTGTTGTCACTCGTCAAGAAGAAGAGCGCGACCCCGAGGCCGAAGCCGATTTTGATCGGGAGTTCGAGAAAATGATGGCGGAGAGTATGGACTCGAGACGCTTTGAGCGGAAGGGAGTCTTTGATATTCCTTTGCCTATGAAGAGAGTACCTCGTGAACATCTTCCAACCGAATCGTCCACCGAGTCGGCCACACCAGAGCCTATTCCGACAAAGACCGTGGCTTTTTCTTTGATGACGAAGAAGGGTAACAAGCAACAGGTAAGATCAGGATGAGGAAACAAAAAGGGGATGAAAAGGCGTGACGTTCATGCTGACAATTGTTCCAGACACGCACCATTGATCTTCCTTCCGATTCTAGCTTTGCTGTTGCTATGCGCACTCAGCAACAAGCTGATCGGGAAGAACAACAGCGTATCAAGAGCTTGGTACTTAACTACGAGGCTGCAAACGAACCCGAGGAAGCCGAGAGTATGAATCTAGTCACACTCTTGTACTCTTTACTACTCAGTTTACTAACAATGTGTTCGCAGCCTTTGAAAAGCGCATTCCTGCCAACCAGCGTGTGGACAAGTCTGCCGCCAACCGGTCCGCATTCCGGTCTCGCAAACTCCAGCTTAGTGATGTGAATTGGTGATGACGATTTCCTCCCCTGAAGAGATACTTCAAATCCGTCACGGGTCTATAAAGCCTCACTTGATCAACACCAATGTCACGGACTGGACATTACCGAGTCTCGACATTCAAGCGCACTGTCTGAAGTGCCTCAGGACCTTGCCCTTTGCGGTCTTGTCCCGCATGGTCATTCCTGAAGATCATCTTCAAAGAACTGATGTTATCGACGATCCACGATCATTGTGTTCTGCATAATGCGATTGCCTTGCCAACTCTCCAGCTCACTGCAGTATGACACGGTGCCTCCACCTTCTGCACCAAACTCGTCCTGGGCAGCTTGCTTCCACCTTTTTGTGAACAGCATACTTAGCTGGGTACTATTAGGGCCTGCAATTACGCCATTACGCATCGTTAAGCGAGAAAGACATGAGTCTTGCCAAGGATCACAGGGACGCAGGATTCGAATGCCTCTGCAGTCGCATGACTGAAACCATGCTGATCGCGAGCGAGTTCGTCTGGCTGGTCTCAAGGATCCCTAGACGACTCTGCATCTCAAGTTACCATAGGTTTATAGTCGATCACACCCACGATAGGCAAAATCACAGGATACGGTTCTGAATGCAAGTCGAATTTGACCAATTTCCGCAAACGTAAATCGACCCACACGAACCTGCATCATTGCAGAAACCTTGGCGTCGTATAATACGTGCCAATAAAACCGATCAAGTCCTCTAAGCAAACTGACGCCTTCTACATAATGCACAAAGTAACCATATGCATCCAGGCCGGAAGCATCACAAAACCCAAATCCATTTTCCCATGCAAAACCGTTAAAAATCCAACTCGGAAACTACCTATTCTCAAGCATCCATAATCCCCGCGCAACCGAGACCCGTCTTCGATCCATCGCAGCAAAGATCTTTCCAATCCGGTCATTCCCCTAACTTCGCTCGTCCGTATAAACCAACGTCTCACAGACCGCCGGCAAATGAACTCGCTTGCACGACTGTCAACATAGCCGTGACAGAAATGAACGGGAAACCCCCCGCCGGCAGAATTGGCGCTGCGATCAAGATCATGAAACACATGGGATGACAGCCGGTAGAATTTTTTTCTGGGCGTTAGATAGGATGAAATGTCTCGCCCAGAGAAAACAGGCCTAGCCAAGACCGTCAAGTACAAGCGAAATGCCACTCTTTCGGTCAAGCGGGGAATTGATATGCCGCGGAAAATGTTGGTACTTGAATATGCTTTCGTTGCGCGAACTTCAGCGACTCTGGGCCCCTGAGTCAAAGATCAAGTACTAATGTCGACAGGAGAAAGTGGCCAAGGATGTACGCAATCTAGGAAACCACATAAAGGCAGTAATCAAGCTGGGGGGCTTTTTAATTCCTCCTCCAATTTGATGGACCATGCAGGGTTCAATGGAATGACCGGAAACCTACGAGAGCATGAACAAAAACTTCGAAAAGGATGGATCAGGATGCTTAGAATGCTGCTCTTGTGATCAAGCTGGAGTCTACAAGGTAGGTAGGGAGTCAAATCAAGTTTACTTTGAGTCTGCGCTTATAGATGCTCCGCGCACTTTGAATGAATGAACGGATTGAATAATTCACGAAAGAGGATCAGCCGGAAGTGAGATTGATGAGGTTGTCGAGGTAGATGAGGTATGATATCAAGAATTTGATTCGAGATGATTAGATCGGACCTGATGACTTTAGAAAGGCTTGTTCATTAGATGACGGGAACCGTGATGCCGCAGTGGGCTGCGAAAGAGTCCACCTTGCAGTCTGTGGTGGCAATTTTTATCACCAAAGCGATGAAATGCTTGGCTTTAGGGAATGGTGTTGAATTCTCCTGTAATAGGCCTTTCTAAAAGACCAGAGACTTCTTCCGCTTAGTTAAGTCTATGGATAAAGATACTATCTCTGGAATAGACTGCTCGTTTCACAGAGCTTTGGACTCGTCGTCGCAGATGCGAAGCAAAGTGAGTAGTAGGTCACGTTTTCCATTTGGTAGAATAAACAGACGGTAGTGGGTGAAAGGTATCCTCTACTAACCTCAAGCGGCTCGCTCCGGGTCTGGTTGATCTTCTCCTCTTTGTTACTCTCCGACTTTTAAGGAATGACCTACAGATCCAGAACCGGCTTCGACGACACCACTTAAAGCCAGGTTTCATCCGCCTCCAACCACACGGAGGATAAAAATCTCATTCCTTGCTATGAGCTCGGCGGTTATCTCGATCTAGTTGTCGAAATTGATCACACTCGACAGAGGGTGAATGGTCTGACACTGCCAGAACTACTTCGCCTTGGCGCCACGAACGAGGAAATCTTCAACTCCGGGGTAAGCCCGGTAGTGACCTCAATGTCTGTTTGGTGAACTCCTGCCGCAGCAAGAGTGGCGTAAGCTTCATCGGATGCCGGGAAAGAGACACGTTCGACCTTGGTCGAATCCTTTTTGACAGGCCTCATACGACGGGCCATCCCATGAAGGAGTGGAAAGGCAAGCACGTCGCTGACCGCGAGGACATACTCTGTAGTCTGTACCCTTGCACTTGCTGACTAGGTTGATTGCCGGGATGGAGTGCCCGCCATGTGCAATGTTCCGATAAGGATTTAGATTGTCGGAACCATGTATGGTGGCAGGGAGGTCAAGCTGTTGCTCACAGTTGTCAACGTCTCCAGGTATTCTTCTGCGGGAAGAATACCACTGGGGCTCCGAGGATCGACCACGCAGAAGGCTGCTAGTTGCATATTCTTTTTGAATCTCCACCACGCTGACGATGGCGTGTTGAATCTGGCTCGTCTTTCGGATGGCGCTCTCGATCTCATCCAGCTCAATTCGGTGTCCATTGATCTTGACTTGACTCTTTTCTTCCGAAGCTTTCACTGCGACGAAGGTATCTGTTTCTTCCCAACACAAAGTCCAGACACTTCGGACATCTTCCAAGGCCCATCCTTTTCAACACTTTGTCTTCACTTGTCTTTGCTTGATCCATTTGACCAACAATGTCTCACATCTCTGAATCCAACTCTGTCGGCACCTCTGTTACCGCGAAGGTACAGACGAGCACAACCACCCATCCCGACTAGCGGGCTATTTTCCCGTACGTGGATCCGAACAAGATCAGCTCAGAATTGGCAGAGTAGCAATTTAGACCGAGTGTGATTTGCACCATCGGTACAAGACTACCACCTCACTATGAGGAAGCCTTAGGTAACAGTTGTGCCAAGGAGTCAGCGTCCTCAATTAGGCCTCATCTTGGCGCCAAGAGTGGGGCCGCCCTGATATGTACGCCCTCGAAGCCTAATGGGGAAAGGTTCGAGGCTCCATCCCATCGGCATCCCATCGGCATCCCCTCGTCCATAACGGGCTCCCAGCGCTATCCCACCATCCCATCATTCCCTCATTCTTCCCTCGGTATCCCAGACGCCATCGTGAATCCCACCTCGTATTGCCATTTCATTCTCTTGCATCGCGATTGTCACATCCGGTCCATTTCCTGGCCGATCTGTGGCCGAGCAGCCTGGAAGATATTCCTGTTCTACTCTGCGAATGCCATTCCCTCACGCTCCTTCGTCTTCCGATGACTCCGCAGCAACCGCCGTTCCAATGTGACTTCCCCGGGTGTAGCCTTAGCTATCGTCGCAAGGAACATCTGACGCGACATGCCAAAAGCCACATCCAACCACGGTCTTATGAATGTCCTTTTTGTGACCGCGTCTATGCGAGAAATGACACGCGCCGGCAACATATCCGCACACATCATAAAAACAAGGAGTGTCAATCGAGCCGGGCAGTCCGAGCTTGCCAATACTGTCGCTTGCGAAGATCAAAATGTAACGGACAGAGTCCCTGTGATGCCTGTTCCCAGCGAGGGAAACAGTGTCTGTACTCGCAAAATTCACGACGCCGCGTGTTGGAACAAAGGAAGAGTCCAAATGATGACACAAGCTTAACGGCATTTTCGGAGTTGGACTCTGCGTTTTCCACGACTTCGTTTGCAGGGGGACCAAGCTCTATACAGCATGCGGAAGTGACCGAGAATAACTCATGTAGAACTGCACCATACGTCGAGGCTTATTTCGAGATCTTTCACCGACACTGGCCGCTTTTGCATCCTGCTACGTTCGATCCCGGCCGTGAGCCAGCTTTTCTGCTGCAATCAGTGATCATGATGGGACTTTGGGTGACGGGTGAAAGCAATGCGCGACAGACTGCAAAGGTTCTTCACCAGAAACTCAGCCTTCTAATTTATGAGCAAAAAGTTGGTTCCGTATTCATGTTCAGATGATTTTCCCGTGTTTTCGCATATTAATACAATGCGCCATACGATAGGAGATATGGGACACGTCAAATCACCACGACGAGTCACAACGCCAACCAAATGACACATCTTCGCCTGAGCCTACCCCTTGGCCAATGGCAACATATCAAGGAATCTTGTTGCACCTCATTTTCTCTCTTCTCATCTCTCAGGACCAATTGGACCTGCAATTGACCCACGCACTGCCTGAACTGCCTTCCCGGCTTCTCGTCGCTCTTGTGCGCTCATGTCTGAAGCGCAACATGTTCTTTTATCCCTCGATGCTAACTCAATTCAAGCCAGGAGTAGATCCTGACGTTTTCATATGGCTCGGTATCGAGGAGATCAAACGGTTTTGTCTGTCACTATACAGAGTATGCCGGCAGTGCCGAGTATTTGACCCCAAAATCCTGGAAGACGCACCCACTTTCAGTGCTCGTCGTGGACCACGAGCACCCGGGGAAAGACTTCTGTCTCTGACAGATCTGCAATTTGCTTTGCCAGATAGCGATGAGCTCTGGGATGCCACGTCGGGCTTGGCGGCGCGACTCGCGGAAAACCCAGCCGCGTGCCACAATGCGAACGTTGAAGAAAAGTGGATATCTCAAACTGCGCGGCTTTTGCAGCCTCGTGATGCACAAGTTCAGTGGATCTGATACTTTTTTTCTTTGAATTTAAACTCCACCCATTACATATCTTCCTTCGTTATACAGATACATGCCCGTGGAGATGAGGTAATACTACGGAAGATACCTAGAAGAGCACCACCTAACACGAAGACATTTGTGAGTCGAGACATCGTCTGAATTGCCCTAAGGAATCATACTTCGGCCAGATATCAATACTTCTGAAATTAAAAATGATCAAATGACGGCTCCAATTTACTCTCTCACTAACTCAGCGTTATAACTTCTGAAACTACAAGAGGACGCGGGCCATACCAGATATCCCCGTCTGACCAGTCATCTTTTCCAGCAAGAGCTTGAACAAGACACTCGGAGACAATACGACCTCATCTTCGAAGGGCCTAACAATTACATCGCCCTCACTGAGCGGCATAGCCAGCGACTTCAAACGCCTGTGAGTCTCGCAGTCGGAATCGTAGTATTTCATATCATCGACGTTGCGGAAGGTGTTCTTCACGCCTGCGGCCTAGTGTATAGCCCTTGGTCCGTGCATAGGGTAAGGTGCGACCAGCTTGAACGCCTAGAATATAGGGCTCAGAGTCATGTATTTCGATTATGAAACGAGCGGTCAGCACTGTTCATCACAATGAAGAGAGCTCATGGGGCGTTCACACCCTCTTTGCTCCTTGAGCTAGGCCACGATATTCATCAAGATGGATATCGATATCCTTTGACTGAGGTATAATGAACATCGCAATGCGGTGGATTAAGGTTGTCATGCTGCTGATATGTAATGGCAGGTGATTTCCGTCTCAAAACACAGATGTATGTTTTCAATGAGAATGTCGATGGCGGAAATCACAGACAGAAGTTTTGAGAATACTTAAGAACGATCAGCACAAACGGGTGTTTACGTTGAATGCACTCTCGCATCGAGCCCATTCGAGGGTATCGCTTGTAATTTCAAGGGTGGCAAATAAGTAGGTAGCGCATCGAAGTCCGGTCTCTTTGGCTGTGCTGTCCTTGCCAAAAGAGTAGGATGTGGGTGCAACCCAAGGGGACCATCTACCACACTGTGAATAACTGTACTGACTACTATCCACGGCTGCAATGACATGCAGACTTCAGGTAGCTGTACTACTGTAACCCAGCGGCATTGCATTGCGGCTTCGTGAGACTTTTCGCCGTTGCTAAAGCACGGTCCGTCCCGTCGTTATCCCTTCGGCATCCTATTGCGGCTTCGCGATCGGTCTAGCCGAGAAACAAAAACTGCGGTCCGGCCCGTCGCTAATAAGTAAGTCGCAATGACTGAAATACTGCCTAAATGAAAGCAGGGCTTCCGTCCGTGCTTGTAGAGCCTTGTACTTCGAGCTCGAACTCCCAACTCAGTGAGAAACATGACAGCTCCTCTGAGGAGGTACCGAAGGAAGAGGAGAGAACTATCACCGGGATCAAATTTCGTGAGATCAATTTTGTCCTCCATAAAGCTCGCTAAATTTTTGAATCACAGTGGGTTCTAGTTGTGACCGCCATCTTGTCGAGTCATATGCTCTTTGCCCTCAATAATACTATTGTCGCTAATATCTGACCGGTTGGTCTCTCTCGCTAAATATTGACTGGTCAATTTTACCGCTCAACTCACTCTTACCTCGAGAAAGACTATTCTTACGCAGTTTAACTAAGCTGAGCGAATTTCGTGGTTGTCCGTCGGGTACAGCTCCCTCTATTTTATTTAAATTGACTCATTTCCTGGGCTGACGTGAAAATATTTGTGGCTAGGTTCACCCTCTGCTCACCTGCTTTGTGTCTTCCTCGGTCGAAGACAGCTAGAGGTACGCAACCTATATGCCAAGTGGCTGTACATAAGGGTAAGCAAATTATGTCTGTCTCAAATGGAATCAAAGGCGACAGGAGCCATGGATGTCTGATTATCATACACCAGTGCGTCGTCCTCTTCATGGCAGGCTCCGCTTTATGTGGCGCTGCTCCAGACATGAAATCCATGATAGTTGGCCGAGCTATGGCTGGTGCTGGGGTAAGTCTGCGGTTTTGAATTGAAAAATATGAGATATGATTAACCAACAATATCACAGGGAAGTGGCATGTACTTCGGTGTCTTGACCTAGTTGTCCGTTAATACGACCGTGTCCGAGCGTGCGTTTTATCTTCAATTGACGTAAGCCCAACAATCCCATGAAATCCAGTCGTTTGACGGCCCTGACTAGGTGTATAGTGCTGTCTCATGGGATTTCGAAAAGTTTCCTCTTGCGACATCCACTGACAGCTTCCAGCGTGAAAGACTGTTCACGGAAGTAGCAGCTGGTGGTGCCTAGACGCGATCGCGTGCTCAGATGTCTCGAGACTTCCCAGTCAGAAGCTTGCTTCGGCGAGGGAAAGCAAAGAGGAACTTGAGCCTAATCAGCGACTATTTTGTCTCGTGTAGAGTTATGACAACCACAGTTCGCGCTGACTTGAATCGGATAAGCATTAGATCGGGAGGTGGGCCCGTAAAACATAATGACAATTTTCCTATAACTAGGAGTTACGTTTCATCTAGTGACGTTTTATTATTTTGAATTTATGGGATCTGATTGCAAACTCTTAGGTTCCGGTACATACGACCATAGGGTATGGAAAATAGGGCTTCCCGTCCGCTCAGCCGTACTTAAGCCATAATACATGAACGCGCTCAATCTCCAAGGCGCCCTAAATGATCTTCGAGAGGTCGACTAAGACAAAACTTAGGTGTGGGTGATAGGGGTAAGAATATTACTAAGGGGGGTGACCGGAGTGATAAGGGTAATGTTAGGACTAGGGTCTAGTCCTAAGGGGGGTTCGGATCAGAGTGAAGGTCCTAAGGTCTATGATTCAGACTAATCGCTAAGGAACTAAGGGGGTTCCTCCTATAGGTAGTAGTTAGGGCCCGCGGGTACGGCGGGCCGTAACTACCTCTTACGCAAGAGTACTACGGCGGCCTCTAGGCCCTATATACGTAGTGTAGCTAGGTCGTAATATTATCCCCCTCCTTAAAGGGCTACGTCCCTACGGCCTATTATACTCTTCGTAGTAGGGTCCCTTTATCTTTCTACGTCTTTATCGATCGTATAGCTCCTATCGTATAGTTACGTCTTTATCTTAGAGATTATAAACGCGGGATTAGGTATTATATCTACGTCTATATATCTTTTTCGCCTTTATCTTAGGTATATAGGTATAGGGATAAGTATTTCGCCTTTCTATTATATCGCTCTTTAACCCGGATATTACTATTTTCGTAGTTATAGCGCTTTCTTTATATATTTATCTTATCCTATCCTATAGCGCTATTAGGCGTTATTATAGAGATAGTATAAGAGGGATACTAGATCTCTCCCTATCTTACTCTTAATTAGAGTCTCCTATTATACCTTCAAACTTTATATCTTAGAATATCCCTAGTAGTCCTATAGCGATATAGTATATCTACTATTTAGAGTACTTACGCTAGAATCCCTAGTACTAGTATATTATATCTATCGGTCGGTATATCTACTCGTATTATACTACTAGACGCTATCCTTATTATATAGTAAATCCTTCTTATCCTTTATAGGGTTTAGCTAACTTATATATCCCTATAGCTCGATCCCTAAGTTATTACTTCTACGAATACGGTTCTAAGTATCCTTCTAACCGGTAGTACTATACTCGCTACTATACTCCGCGAGTTCCGAGGTACTTATCTATATCTAGTAGCTACGATTCGGAGAGATAAGGTCCTTACGGATCCTAATACTCCTATTCCTTCTTCTTCTCTTAGGGTAGGAAGTATATCTCCTTTACCTCTATCTCTATCTCTATCTCTATCTCTATTACTACTACTATCTAAAGAGGAAGAAGGGGCTATATCTCCTTCTTTGTCCCTATCTCTATATAGTAATTTAGAGTTATAGGTATCTATACTAATCGTATTTATAACTAGATAGAAGATACTTTAGCTAGTAGATATAATACTATTTAGCTATTAGGAGTAGTAGTTTATAGAGTTATACTAGCTTCTAACGTTATAGATAGTACGCGTATTTATTATTAGAGTTATAAGTTTTACTATTATATATCTTCTATTATAGTATAATAAGACTAGGGTATAGATCGGTAGCTCCGGGATACTATATTAGCTTAGGATATCCGTCTCTTATAGTATCTTATTCTCCTAGTAAGTTATTTATCTTTTCGGGCTTCCTATACTATCTATATAGGATATCTTTATATATCTTTTACGTATCCTACGTAAGTTAATTCTCTCTGCTAGTAGTCTTATATTATTATACTTCTTTCTTTTACTCCTTAATACTCTTCTTATAGGGGACTAGCGTCTTCTGCGTATTTATATTAGCTATTATATTTTTCTATCTATATTCTCTATCTATTTATATATTTATTTAGATATAAATTCTTTAAATACTACTATTTCTTTAATATATATAAGTAGCTCCTATATATTTTCTTTATCTCTATAGCCTACCTATTTAATATAGTAGTACTTCTTATCCTTTAATTCTTATAGGATATATTCTATAAGCTATTCGTTAGTATTACCGACCTATATTAGTCCTAGTTACTAGTTCTTCTTATATAGATTACTATAGTATAGCTCGAGTAGCGAGATATAGACTATAGGATAGATTATATAGTATTACGGTATAAGAATTAGGTAGTATACTTACTATCCGATCTTTTCTACGATTTAGAATAGTCCTATATAATAGTAGTTAATCTTCCTAGCTAGACGCTTTTACGTAATATTTTTATTCCTTAGTAGGATCTATTTATCTATATAGAATTCCTTATCTAAGTATTTCTTATCCGTATTTCGTTTTATTACTTCCTTCGCCTATTATAGGTAAGTATATAGTTATTCTCGTATTACGACTATTTCGCCTATATAGATAGTTATATCTTCTACTTCTTATTCTTACTCCTCCGTTTAGACTAAGAGTCGTAGGTCTAGCCTTATATCTATAAGTATATATATAGGTATAGTTCTATATATATTATACGTAGCGTTATTATAGACTATTTACGCGAGTAGGAGCTATCTTACCTAATTATCTTACTCCTAGTTAATATAGCTACGGAGATAGTACTCTAGAGTTTAGTTTTATCTCTCTATCTAGCTATCTATCTATAGGTAAAATATAGTAGATAGACGCCTTCTTACTCCTAGTAGATAGTAGAAGCGAGACTAGAACTCGCTTATAAATACGCTTCCGTAGTTACTTACGATATTCTCTAGTATTCCGAAGTATAGGATTATACGGTTATAGAATTTATCCGTAAGTCCTTCTACGTTAATATCCTTTATATATAGGATATAGAGTAAGTACTTTATAAATAAATCGACTATTACTATAATAGAGTTATAGATCTTTCTGTCCTAACGGGATAGGGATAGGCCCGTAATAAAGTTAATACTTATCTATTCTATCGGCTTCTATAGTACTAGTAGCGGTTCTAGGAGCCTATATAGCTTATATCGCTTAATAGCGGCCTTTTAATAAATACGATACTTACTAATATATTCTATAATTATTTCGCGTATATTTATCTACCAGAAACGCGATCTAATCGATTCGCTAGTATATCTTATAGTATAGTATCCTACTATAGGATCGTCGTAATATATATATATAATTTCTACGATTAGTACTAGTTTATTCGGGATATATATCTTCCTACTCCTCCTAAGAAGGTTATCTTTCTAAGAGATACTCTATAGACCGTTCTTCGGCTAGTCTTCCTCTCTAATCTCCTATCTCTTCTTAGTAGAACCTATATCTTATATTTATATAAGATAGATTAATTTAGCGAGAGGTATTAGAAGTATCTATATCCTAGATAATTCTTCTATAGTCCCTATAATTACGGCTTATTAGCTAATTATTATCCTATATCCTTTCGCTTCTATCTCTCTTTCGAAGACTATATTTAGCGTAAGGATTCCTATAGGAGGATCCTCTATCTCTTTTCCTTATAAGATATATTACTCTAGTCGTACTATTAAGTCTCCTAGATAGTCCTTACTACTTATATCTTCTATATATTCTTATTTATAGTCTAGTCTCTTACTCGGAGTATCTACTAGATTTTACGATTCTATATAGAAGACGATAATAAAGTTATATTATACTAAGTATTCCGCCTATTATATCTATCTTCGGAAGAGCTCCTTCGTACTTATAAATTTTACGAGGTTTATATAGTCTATTTTTATTATAATTTAATATATACTACCCTCTAGATAGTATTACTATTCCTTAAAGTATTCTATAATAGCGAGTATTTCTTAGTTATCTACTTCGTAGTTTATCTATATAGGGATTATCTTTTTCGAGTAGAATATAATTAGCTTCTATACTCCTAACTCCTATTTCTATAAGTAGATCTCTCTATATATATATCCTAACGCGTCTAACTCGATTATACTTTAGAGGTTAGGGTCGAAATATACGAGTATTAGTATATAGAGAAAGCGCGCTTTAACTTCGTTAAACGCCTCTTACGTACTTTCGGTTAGCTTAAAGTTTTACTTCTACTTATTCTATTCTTTTTATTATATATCTAGCCCCTAGACTAGGTCCGTAAGGGGCTTAGTAATCTTTAAGTATAAATCGATAAATCGGCGGTAGAAGTTCGCGAATCCTAAGAACTACTAAATATCGAAGATATACTCTAGCTCTAGCTAATCACGGATAGTAGCTATCCTTATATCGTCTATCGTAACTCCCTTATTACTTATAATAAAGCTAAGGAATTCGATCTATATAGTATAAAAGGTATACTTCTCTAGTCTAGTATATAGATTCTATTCTTATAGGCGCTATAGTACTATACGTATATTACAGATATAGCTTTCTGTATCCTATAAGAAGATTAGGATATTATCGAGATATACGATAAGATATATATCGATAAGATCCGCGAGTATCTTATTAATATAGGACTAGAATATTACTAGCGTATTTACTAGGCCGAAAAGTATTATATAGTACTCGAAATATCTATAGCGCGTATAAAATATAGTCTTCTACTCGTCTCCTTTTCTAATATAAATATAGTAGTATATATCTTATAGGTCTAACTTAGT